AAACTCATGCCGGGCACGTGTGTGTGCGTGCCCAAGATCCCGAGAGAAGTAAGGAGAAGGGATTGCGGTGTGGCCATCCTCCCTGGGGAGTGATTTCTCGCTTTCTGTCTCTGTCTCTCTCTGTCTGGTGAGCACATGTGCCCTATAGCGAAAACCTCTTTAAAAAAAAATGGAGGCTCAGACGGACACCTTTAGTAAGACCACAGGAACAGTGGTTTCAGAATGAAGTGCCAATTTGCAGCGAATGATGCCTGCCCTCCCATAGTAACCCGTGTGCCAACACCTTGCAGTATCACAAGGTCGCTTTGTACAGTAGCCGCTGAAGGAGGCATAGTAGGGATTTAGTCATTTAACAATGGCCAGTGATTCTCCCAAGTAACACTGGATATGTACATGACATCTTCCGAAAGTCTATGGAAAATACATATTATAAAAAATTATAGATTAATTTTTTTTTTAAATTGTGTGTTCTTTTACCAAAGAGTCAGAGAGAAGGAGAAATTATGCCTCAATGGTGCGTGACCATGCTGTAATCCCTTTTCCTTCATTTCTCCTCCTCTTGAGATTCTGGGCATGCATGTACATGCACCCAACATGTGTTCCAGTCACTAGGGCAGGGATTCAACCCATTGTCAGCCATGTGGGCTCTGACTCCCTTAACTACCAGGCTACAGGCCAGTCCAACTATGCATGAATTTCTAAAATTTTTTTGCATCAAAGCAAATTCATAGCTTAATTCAATTTTTCTATAAACCTTTTTTTTTTTTAAGAGTTGTTTGTTTGTTTGCTATAGGGTGCGTGCACACGCCAGAGAGAGAGAGATGGGGAGAGAGAAACCGAAAAATCACCCCCCAAGGGGTATGGCCATGCGGCAATCCCTTCTTCTCCATTCTCCTCTCAGGATTCTGGGCATGCACACACACGCCCAGCCTGAGTTATAAGCCACCACATCCAGGAGTGGAATCATGGTTGACTATGTGGGAGTCTGGAGACATAACCATTATGCCATTTCCTGGTCCCTCTAGAAACTTTTTGAAGTCTCCTCATGTGTCTTCCAAATCACCTGTACATTTCACTTTTATTTAATTTTTAAAAATCTTGCTCTAGGTACTTGCTGTTGAGGGAACAGGAAGGAAGTTCACATTGATTTTGGCAGTCTCAGAGCTTATTATTGGAAACGTTCCCAGAAGGGATGGCCATGCTGCAATACCTTCTCCATTTCTCCTCTTAGGATTTTGGCCACGATGGACATGCATCTGGCATTTTTCTAAGATTTTTTAAAAAAATATTTTGCTATGGGGCATGTGCACTCACCAGAGAGAGATAGGGAGAACAAGCTGCCAGGTCTAAGAGTTGAGCCATGGTCAGCCATGTGGGAATCCAGCACCTTAACCACCACACCACCAGCTGGCCCCAACACCTGGCTTTTTGAAGCTACTGGGTCTGAGGCTCAAACCACATAGTCAGCTGTGTGGGATCCTTAACCACCAAGCCACCAATTGACCCATCACTTTTATTTCTGAAGCATCCCCATTGTATGGGTGCGTAGCCTGCACTGTACCCTAGCCACATCTTTGGGATATGGAGAAACTATTAGTAGGAAAAAACAATGAGATTGTGAGAAATTAAAGTTGACCCAAGTCCACAAGAGCTCATAGAAAAGTTGCACCCAAACTTCTTTGCTGGGGGCTGAGCGAGCAGACTGCAGAGAGAGGCAGCTCTGAGGTCCACAGGTTCAGGGGTGAGGGCTCGTAAACAGGTGTAAACAGAGAGCAGAGGCTGGCAACAAGCACCGGGGCAGGTGAGAAAGTGCTCCTTTCTGAAATTCTTTCCAGATCTGATTGTGACCCAAAACCCTTTCTGCTTCCTAGGCCTTAACTCATTTCAAATATTTTTCCTGAACGAAGTGTCAGTGTTGTTTCCAACAATAAGGTCCAAGACTGCCAAAATCTGCAAACCTCATATGGACAAAGTTTAGGTGGAAAGTTGGCATTTCCTTTCCTATTATTCTGTCTTCATTGGGCCAATGCTCAGCTGCCCATCCATAGTGCACAAGTGACTATGTCTGCCTCCATATCTGCATTGATTGCTGGAATCACTGCGGATTTGAACCTCTGAAGGCCAGAGCCATGAAGAGATGTTATGGATTTCAGAGCAACCATTCCCAGGACTTGGTACAGCCCTTTGGTAAAACTGCAACTTGCTGCTCAATACAACAGCCACCAGCCACAGGTGGATGCTGAGCACTTGAAAGGGAACTGGTCCAAACTGAGATGCTGTCAGTCCAATACACATTGCAGAAGCCAGGCGGTGACCCAGGGTAATGCACCAGACCTGCATGGGCAAGGCCCGGATTTGAGTCCCTGGACCTCCCTGAGTATACCAAGCAGGCACATCCATGACCATCATCCAGGCTGGCTGAGGCTTGGAATGTTAAAAGACTGCTCAAAGACTTAGTACAAGAACAAATAACAGAAAATCTCTCATTAATAACTTTTTTCCAACTTTTTAAAAAAATTTTACATTTTTAAAGGTTTTTGTCATAGGGCATGTGAGCTTGCTGGAGAGAGAGAGACAGTGAGAGTGAAACTGAGAAATCACTCCCTGGGGGGATGGGCACGCCACAACTATTTCTCCTCTCCTCTCCTCTTAGGATTTTGGGCACACATCCACGTGTGCCTGGCATGATTTTGAAGACTCAGGTCCAGTACTCAAACGACAGCCACGTGGGAGTCCAGCATCTCAATTATCGAGCCAGTCATGGCCTTGTGGTTAAGAGCACTAGGCCCCACGTGGACAACCACATGGTTTGAGGCCCTGATCTCGCAGTTTGAAAAACAAACTAGGCACATGTGTGTGCCTGCCCCAAATCTTGACAGGGTGGAGAAATAGAAAAGAAAGGATTACAGCATGACCAAACCCCTTTGGGGGGTGCTTTCTCCATCTTTCAGAAGAGAGTATGTGCCCTCTGGCAATTAAAAAAAAAGTGAAAATTTTAAAATATTGTTTCTTTTAAAAACATTTTTTAATTGTTTATTTACTTCCATTTATTATCTTTTTTTAAAAAGAATTATTTATTTATTTCCATTTGTTATTGTTATTTTTTTCTTTATTTGACGAAAGAGAGAGAGAGAGAGAAAGGGAAAGTGAGAAAGCAAGCCACCAGGTCCAGGACTTGAACCATGCATGGTTGGCCATGTGGGAATCCAGCGCCCTTATCCACCACACCACCTGCTGGCCCCGATTTATTATTATCTTTTTAATTTGACCAGAGAGAGAAGAGAAAAGGAGAGAGCAAGTCGCCAGGTCTAGGACTCGAACCGCAGTCACCCACATGAAAATCCAACGCCTTTAACCCCATGCCACTTGCTGACCCCTAAATATTGTTTCTATATTGAAACTTGAATACACTGGGTTAAATAAAATACATAATTAATTTGATCTTTTCTCACTGTATTTTAGATGTCCATCCTACTAGAAAGGTGAAATCACAGGGCCCGCAGGGGGTGTGGTGGTTAAGGGCGTTGGACTCCCATATCGCTCACTGTGGTTTGAGTCCTGGACCTGGAGGCTTGCTTTCTCACTCTCCCTCCCCGCCCCCCTCTGTCCCTCTCTGGTCAAATTAAAAATAAATAAATAAGTTAAATTTAAAAAAAATATTTTTGGGGGCGGAGGTTTTTGCTATACGGTGTGTGTGCTCGCCAAAAAGACAGAGATAGAAAGCGAAAAATCACCCCCCAGGAGGATGGCTATGCCACAATCTCTTCTCCTCCATTCTCCTCTCGGGATCTTGGGCACACATGCATACGTGCCTGGGTCTGGGACTCGAACTGTGCTCGACTACGTGCGAGTCCAGCAACATAGCCATTATGCCAACTGCTGGTCCCAAAATAAAATAATTCGTAAACAAAGGTGAAATCACACATTCGGCTTGCATCGTGTTACTGTGGGCCATGCCAAGCCAATTGGGGGTGGCAAACCAAGGACAGTGGGTATGATCCAGCCCATGTCTGCTGCAGCATAGCCAGTGAGATAAGAGTGGTTTGGACATATTTAAATGTTTGGGAAAAAAAGTTCAATAATTTAAACCAATCATTCTTTTTACATGAAAACTGGTGAAATTCAAATTTTGATGTCCATAAATAGTTGTTTTCTTGTTTGTTTGTTTTTAGGTTTTTGTCATAGGGCTCATGTACTTTGACAGAGAGGGAAAGTGAGAAATAATCCTCCAGGGATGAGGGGGCGATCCCTTCTCCTCCATTCTCCTCCTGGGATTTCGGGCATGCACACACATGGGATTGGTGTGGTTTTTGAAGCTGCCGGGTCTGGTATTTTAACTGCATAATCGGCCATGTGGCATCCAGTTGCCTTAACACCATGCCACCGGCCAGTCCCATAAAGAGAATTTTACTGGAAAAAATGGCTCATAACTATTCTCTCTCCCATTACGTGAGCTCCGCAGAGCACGCACCTTTTCTTTGTTTGGCAAATTACTGTTGGCATCAGGGAAGCACCTACCACATGAAGTATTCTATAAATGTTGTCAATAAATTTAAGAAATCTATTTTGAGGGGGCCTGCATCCCACACAGCTGACTGCATGGTTAGAGTCTTAGACCTGCATGTGTGCCCAAAATCCCAAGGGGAGAATGGAGTCTCCTCCAAGGATTGCGTGGCATGGCCATCCTCCCTGGGGGGTGATTTCTCACTGTGTCTTTCTTTGTCCTTCTGGCAAGCACATGAGCCCTATGGCAAAATTAAAAAAAAAAAAAAGTAAACTATTTTGGGGGTTATGTAGGAAGTGTCTCATTACAAAGCACCTGAATCACCCACTACTACAATCCACGGTCTCCATTTTCAAGCCGGAAAAGTGAAGGTTAATTAAGCTGTGAAGCAAGCCCATACCTAAGGACTTGCCACTGTAAGTGCTGGTTTCCTGCTGGGCTTGGAGACAGACGCAGGTACTGCTTCAACGACAAGAGGATCACAGGCTTTCGAGATCAAATACCTTATTTTATTTTAATGAATTCCATGATTTTCTAATGCATTTTTTCAAGTCCCTCTTACAGGGGAGAGGTAAAGCTGTCCCAGTTATCAAAAAATTCAAATCTCTTTTTCTTCAGTGGACTGTCTGTCAATGTGCTTTCATACTCAGTGTAGCCCGTGTCCTGCGAACCACTTCCTGGGTCAAAGGACTCTGCTGCCTCCAAAAGTTCCATATCACTTCCGTCTTCCTCAAATGACTTCTGGAATAGGTCATAGATCTTCAGCTGCTTTGGGTCCTTCAGCAGAGAAAGAAAGGAAAAGGTTTTCACCTTGGAAGAACCTGGACTCCAACACTGTTGTCCCTCCATGGTGGTTGAGGACACTACTTGCCTCAACACCACACGACCGGCCAGCCCCATAAAGAGAGCTTTACTAGAAAAAAAGGCTCATAACTATTCTCTCTCCCATTATGTGAGCTGCGCAGAGCATGCATCTTCTTTGTCTGGAAAATTATTGCTGAAGTATTCTATAAATGTTGTCACTAAACTTAAGAAATCTATTTTGAGGGGGCCTGCAGGTAGACAGGGACAACATGTTGTCCCTCCATGATGGCTGTGAGAGAACCAGAGGTGAGAGCCCACATCTTCCTGGTCCTCAGGGAGCTACCCGATGGTAGGCATGGACTATCTTAGTGACTGCTTATCCCTCAAGCAGCTCAGATGGGTCAGGGGAAGAAAGAAATGGTGAGAGCAACAAAGATGCTGTTCTCACGCTATAACTTACATTGTTCATGTATTCTCTTCCTTTTTTTTAAAAAAATATTTATTTCATTTTATTTATTAATTCATATATTTTAATTTGTCCAGAGAGAGAGAGAAAGGGGGAAAGTGAGAAAGCAAGCTGCCAGGTCTGGGACTCAAACTGTGGTCAGCCATGTGGGAGTGTCCAGCACCTTAACCACCACGCCACCTGCTGGTCCCTTAATGTATTCTCTTTCTAACTTGCCAAATTAGTATTTTAATACTGAAATAGCAGCCCAGCTCCTGTGGCACAGTGGTAACCCAAGTACTCTGTAGTGCTGGAAGTCAGATGATCTGACCATGGGTTTGGATCCCAGGGCTGGTCTGAAAATAAGCTGGGTGCCCAGGATCCTGAGGAGCTGAGAAAGCACTGGAAAGGGGATCACAGCATGATGAGACCGTGGGAAGATGCTTTTCTGCCTCTAGCTCACATGTTGCACAGGCGCCATCATGAAAAAACATAGCATAACCCCCAAGATCTCACTCCCTCCAAAGCACTTCCCTAACGAGCAGTTAATTAAACTGTAATTTGACTCCCCAATCTGTGTGTTCAGTCATGGCTTACACCTAATTTTCACTGGGTAATTAAACACACTTAATATATTGATATCTATACCTCTTTCTGATGACCTTAAAGCTACAAATAATCAAAATGCCCATCAACTGCATCTACCCACTGCTGACAGGGCTTTAATGTTCAAATCATGCTCAGCTGCTACAACAACATTCAGCTCACTATCATCCCTCTGGTTACCTCTCCCAAGTCTAAATTTCCAACTCTAACCATTTTTTAATCCACTGGGACATTTTCTTTTCTCTTTTTTTGGTTATAGGGTGCGTGTGCTCGCCCGAAAGACAGAAAGTGAGAAATCACCCCCTGAGGGGATGGCCACACAATGCCTTCTCCTCCATTCTACTCTTAGGATCTTGGGCATGCACGTACATCTTCCTGGTGTGAGTATTTTTCAGTCACCACATCCAGTACTCAAACCATGGCCAACTATGTAGGAGTCCGGTGATGTAACCATTACACACCATCTACTGGTCCCTTTTTTTCTTTCTTAATTTGACCAGAGAGAGAGGGGGAAAGAAGTACACTCCCGCAGGGCATGGCCATGCTACAATCTTCCTCCATCCTATCTGGATTCTAGGCATGCATATGCACACGCCCAGGATGTTTTTCAAGCCATTGGGGCTTGGATTTGAACTGCACGGTCAGCCATGTGGCTGCCTTAACCACCAGGCCATGGAGCTGACCCCAGAGAGACATTTGAAATATCTCTCCTGACACCCCGCAAATCCATAAAACTAAACTATTTAAAAGTCAAACAATCTCATATATCCCCAAATCAGCTTCTCTTCCCAACAGATCTATTTTTGATAGTCTCCAAACATTAGACTCCTCACTTGAAGCCACCACAGTGTCCTGAGTCTTTAGGTCACACCAGCTAGTTTCTCCCTCCTCCCTACTCCCCGGCAACCTCTATGCGTGGGTCACTTCACTGGTACCTGTGAGGCTTTGCCATAGCTCAACTGCCCTTCCTGCTTCAGGCTTATTCCCATTTCCACCAGCTCGCAGGTCACTGCCAGGCCATTTCTTCCCTCCCCAGGCTATCTTTAATCAGATTTTCTTTGTCTTGCCCTTGGGCTCCCCCGTGTCCACCTCACCAAGTGCAGTTGCTTCCCTGGCTTCTCAGGCCACAATTTCCTCACTGTCCTTTACTGGAATCCCTTCACATGGGTGAAGTCCCTTGAAAACTGATCAGGGGAGCGTATCAGATAAAAACTCTAGATGATCCATTAACCCAAATCCCACATTTTCTGGCTTTTTGGGATCCCAGCCTTTTGGAGTAGAAAGTAGTACTAAAGATCATTATGGCTGACCCCACGGTCCATTCATCCTCCTGAGGGTGGCCTCATTTGCCTCTTTCCAAACACCGCAGGGTCAGGCAACATCCTCTGCAAAGGCAGCCTGTTCCACGCGGAGGAAACTGTTCATGGGCCTCTGATTGTGACGGTGGCAACACCGTTCGCTAACTTGGAGCGTGCATAATTAACTGGAAGCACGTTCTAAGATCAGATTAATATTTCATTTTCTCTCTCCGAAAGAAGGTTATCTTAGTAAGACCTAAACGATTGCTTTTGTCTCCTATATAGGAAGCAACATTTTTTCCCTACTAGTTCATGAGAGTTTCACCCCTATCTTGAAAATAAAGAAGGATATAGTCACTAATCAAAATAAACCTATTATCTTTCAATTTTATATTTTTAAAAGAATTATTTTACTTAACTTTAAATTTGACCAGAAAGGGACACAGAGAGAGAGAGAGAGAATGAGAAAGCAAGCAGCCAGGTCTGGGACTCAAACTATGGTCAGCCATGTGGGAGTCTATACCCCTAACCACCATGCCACCAGGCGTACCCACTTGCAATTGTACTTTAGAACTCTTAAACTAATTTAGAATAGCTAATGGAAAGGCTATGACATATACATGAGTTCAAATGAGAATTCTTTAATAAGGTTCTTCCTTTTCTTTTTTTGAGAGATTTTTGGTATAGAGCATATGTGCTCACTGGAGAGACAGAGAAACAGAAAGGAAGAAATCATTCCCTGGGTGGGAGGCCACACAACAGCCCCTTTCCCTCCATCCTCCTCTTGAGATTTTGCGCGTGTGCGCACATGCGCCTGATGCGAGTTTCACGTTGCTAGGTCCAGGACTCAAACTGCGGTTAGCCACATGGGAGTCCAGCACTTTAGCCACTATGCCACCTGCTGGCCCAAGGCTTTCCTTTCAAAGGGCATATAATAGCCTCAGCTCTGTTAACCTAGTTACCACAAAAATTAGAAAGTTCTTTCAAAAACTTAAAAGTAAGGTTGTTTTAAAACAGTCTTAACGGGGAAACAGCAGATGGCATAATGGTTTCGTTGCTGGACTCCCACATGGCCACCACAGTTTTGATTCCTGGTGGCTTGAAACTCACAGGTGTACATGTGAGTGTGCCCAAGATCCCAGGAGGAGAGTGGAGGAGAGTTGCGGCATGGCCATCCCCCGGGGGTGATTTCTTGCTTTCTGTCTGTCTCTCCAGTGACTTCATGCACCCTATAGCAAAAATCTCTCTTGCTTGACTCCCATGTAGTCGACCATCGTTTTAGTCCCAGACCTGGAGGCTAAAAACTCATGCCAGGCATGTATGTATATATGCCCAAAATCCCAAGAAGAGGATCAAGAAGGGATTGAGACATGACCATCTTCCTTGAGGGGGTAATTTCTCACTTTCTCTCTGTCTCTCCAAGGAGTATACATGCCCTGTAGCAAAAATCTCTCTCTCTAAAAATATTTTTTAAAAAATAAAATTGTTTTTTCAACTGCTTATGCCCAAAAGTACAATTTAGAGTCTACATTTTAAAATATCATCAGTCTCATTTATATGAATAGTTACATTAGGAAGAAAGGATTTATTTGCTAAGTAAATGTAAATACTGGCTCAAACCCTCAGACTCAAATCTATAAGATTTGATTGACTTAACTTACAAAGCTCACAGGAAGGAGAAGGTACCTCAATTTCCTGATGACCTGCTGGAAGGCCACCTTCAGATGTGAGGCTCAGACCTCTTCTAAACTGTCTAACTGAAAACAGTTCATCTCTCAGTCACATCCAAGAGGCAGCACCTCTGGAGTTTCACCTTCCTAGGCAACCACTTGACTTCCCGGTCAGCCTTGAGGGGAAATCTCAGCACCTTCTGTTCTGTTCCGCTGTGTTTCATTGAAACAGGAGAAACAGCCCATGGTAGCAATTGGGTCAGAATTGAGGCCAGGGCAGGGATGGTGGACCCTGGGCTGCCTTCTCCAGAGGCAAACAAGCCTCTTTCAACCCCTTTGACAAGGCCAACCTGGTCACAGAGACTGCTTACTGGCCTGTCATACTTTCTCTAGTGAAGGGCTGATGTCACAGAAGGAATGCTGGGCCGAGTTGGGTAGCCTTATACTTTGGGCTGGTTTCTCAGGCTTTGTGACTCTGTCCATGGCTACTGCTCTGTCATGTCTCAGTTTTCCCTCTATAAATAGGGTCATATGAATAAAAAGGGGGCAACTCTGAGAATCAAATGAAATGACAGAGGGGAGATATGCTATAGATCAGTCATACCCTATTGTAAACACTCCATTCTTTGCTTAGGCCGTGTTTCCGTGGCAGTTGTCTGTGGTGCTGCCATGTGCCACTTATCACCGCAATTCGAACTGCCACAGGGAATTTTCTGTCAGGTTCTAATGGGCTGATGAAAAAGGCAGCCGTTTGGAGGCCTTGGTTTTATAAGAATCTGGGAGGGAATGCTGGAAGCAGTAGGAGTTAATGCCATCATTTCCCCATAAAGGGATGGTGCAAGGATTGATCAGAGAACGACTGCTCGTTTTCAGCTCCAGGCTGGGGGCGGTCCCCAGGAGTGATTCACGCCTTCCCACTCAGAACCCAAGGGCCTGGCAGACAGCTCAATGCCTCCCTCTGCTCGGGTGGCAAGGAGCCATGTGCTGGCGTTACCTTGTAGAGGTAATCAGTGGCTTCTGTCATTTCTGAGAAATTGGTCTCCGAAAGCCCGGCTTCCCCCAGAACTTTAATCTTCTCTTGGATCATGGGCCTGTTGGGGACAAATGAGCTGCAGTGAGTCCAACCTGCACAGAGCCAGCAGACTGATTAAAATGAGGCCACCCTCTCCATTCTTCAGGGCACTGTGACTTGTTTCCCATTTCGTGTCTGCATTTCTCAAGGCACAAACACCCATGCTGGAATATCTGTTCTCTCAGTAAAACCAACTACCATTTAGGGCTCATAATATCACCAGTGTAAAGTTCCTTCTAATGGAAGATGTGCAGGAAATAAATGCTGCCTCATTACAACAGATATTAAACCTGGTGATGTAACGAGCTGTCCAGTTAACACATCTGCTAAACAAATGAGGGGCAGTGGGGGTGACTCACACACAACGCCCAGGTAAGTCCTTCATCGTAAATTTGGAAACAGAGTAGTGAAAACTAATGAGATAACCAAGAAACATACTAGGTTGCTGGGAAAAATCATGATGCATTTTTGCATAGAAAAACACAGAACAGGGGCTGACAAGTGGCATGGTGGTTAAGGGCGCTGGACTCCCACATGGCCGACTGTGGTTCGAGTCTTGGACCTGGTGGCTTGCTTTCTCACCTCCTCTCTCTCTTTCGCTTTGTACCACTCTGGTCAAAATTAAAATAAATAAGTAAATAAATAAGGTTAAAATAAAATAATTCTTTTAAAAAAAAAAAAAGAAAAGAAAAACACAGAACAGTACCTCCTGACTTTCCCAATGACCTAATAGGATCAGGAAGTGGGGAAAAGGGATCGTCGTGAAGGAGCACTTGGGAAGTTTTGCTTAGGTAATAGACATGAACCCCAGGGTTGAAAATTTTATCCCCGTCCTGCTGGTGATGAACTATGTGGTCCAGGGTGAGCCACTTTCTCTGTGTCCTGCCTCAGGGTGGTAAAATGTGCTGCCAAACAGAAAGGTAAAAGGAGGCCATCGCCCTGCCCCAACAAGTGCCGCCTTCGTGGCTGGGAAGAGTGTCTGACACACTGACTCCCACCTACATGTCATCAAAATCAGTTCCTCTCCCTGTCTCAGACCATTGGGAAAGGAGCCTGCACCCTCTAAGCCACCAGGGAACACAGTGAGGGAGGCCAAAAGTGGTCACGATGACTGCGAGAGGGCATGGCTGACGGTTCTGCTGCGTGGCTCCTTGGGGACCTTAGCAAAAGCAGAAGCACTTGGGGAGCAATGAGAACATCACCAGTGTCATCTCGTGCTCAACTCCAGCAGGCCCTACCAAAGGTAGTCATCAGCCGTGCCTCTGGCCACGAGGTAGTGAATGCCCACGGAGCTCGTCTGTCCAATGCGGTGCACCCGGTCCTCAGCCTGCATCAGCACCTGTGTGTTCCAGGGATCAAAAGATACTAGGTAAACGCCGGATGCTGCCCAGTCCACCACTGCAGGCAGTCTCCTGCCCTGGGCCCTACTGCGACCCTTCTTCCTCCAACAGTTCACTGCCTCTTAGACCTACGAATGATGTGCCATGTTAACAAAGAGAAAGCCAAACAAAACCCTGGTGGGGAAGGAGAGTCGGAGGCAGGGTATCTGTGGGTGGCCTTTCTATGCCAGGCACTGTGCCAAGTGCTGCGGACGGAGGTGGGCTGAAGGGGTGCGGTACAGACCAAAGATGGGGACCTGGCACACTTTCATTTCTCCTCTCCATGAAGTACAAACAGGTGTCTTCTGCACAAGTGAAACCATCACAGCGAGGAAGAGACCATATGTGATCAGCGGGTAGGGAGGTGACTTTATATCGTGGTAGGCCCCATGATAAATAACTGAAATTGGGAGCACTATTTCTATTATTAAATGGATTCAACCTCAAAACCCACCCGTCGTCAAAGCAGTCGCTGATGTGTGTTCAATGAAAGGCGCACTGTGTCGGAACACCACAGGGGAAGTAACTTCTTTCTGGAGCTTAGCGGCTCTGAGTTCAAACACATGTCTTATCTGCTGTCACAGCCCCCAGCTGATCAGGGAGGGCCAGCAGGCAGGATGCTGATGTTCTAGGAGCATCTTCCACTGTTCTGTCTCAGGCCCCACTGGTTAATAAAGGGGCACAGCTGGAAAGCCAGAAACGGGGCTATAGCCCAGGGCTGCCATGTGACCCCCCCGGAGGACAGTGTGATGTCCTTGCTTACCACTTAAGCTAATCTAGCCATTAGATGTGAAAGTCTAAACAGGTTTCTGAGGGCTAACAGAAATGGACAGAAGAAAACAAAACTGGATTAGGGAAAAGCTCAAAGAAACCATGTCTTCCTGACTGTCCCTCACTCCTTCCTCCCCTAGGAAGCTATGAGCTTTCTGTGTCCCTTACCCCTGGGTTCCAAAACAGCTCGGCGAACACCACCAGGTCAGCTGAGGACAAGGTGAGGCCCATGTTGGCGGCGGTGATGGACAGCACCGCCACGGCGTGCCTCTCGGACAGCTGGAACTGCTGGCACAGGTCCTCTCGGTCAGCTGAGGAGGTGGAGCCATCGATGCGGATGTGCTGCACGTGCTAGGGAAGGGAGAGAGGGAGGGGACCAAGTTGGGATGCCAAATCTTCAATGATGTCACGGTTCCAAGGCAGGGCCACGGTGGTATCATAGCTCAAATCTTTTTTTTTTTTTTTTTTTGGAGAGGGTTTTGCTATAGGGGCGCGTGCGCTCGCCAGACAGAGACAGAAAGCGAGAAATCACCCCCCTTCATGTCTCAAATTTTTTTTTTTTTTTTTTTTTTGTAGAGGTTTTTGCTATAGGGCGCGTGCGCTCGCCAGACAGAGACAGAAAGCGAGAAATCACCCCCCAGGGGGGATGGTCACGCCGCAATCCCTTCTCCTCCATTCTCCTCTTGGGATCTTGGGCACGCACGCACATGCTCCCGGTGTGAGTTTTAAGCCACCGGGTCCGGGACGCGAACTGCGGTCGACTATGTGGGAGTCCAGTGACATAGCCATTATGCTAACTGCTAGTTCCCTCATAGCTCAAATCTTGAGGACAGCTTTTTATTTTCTGTGTTTTTCTTTGTTTATTTACTTTTTTTAAATTGAAATTTATTTTTTAAATTGAAATTTGTATTGACATAATTGTATACTTCCATGCCATTGTAAGAAACTACACAGAGATCTCTTGTACGCTTGGCTTAATTTTCCCCAACGGTAATGTTTCATAAAGCCACAGCATAATGTCATACCAGGATGACGACTTTGACACCACAGATCTTCAGATTTCCTGGCTGCTTTCTTCCGAGAAAAGACAGAGCATGGGAGAGAGACAGAGAGAGGAAGACAGGTACTTCCAATAGGATCTCCATGCTTTGATCTACCTAGGCTCAGTCAGCCTGGATCACAGACAGGTGTGAACTTGACACATATAAGGAGGTCCTAGGATGTGAACCCTGACCTTTCCCATGTGGGTACAGTGTGTTACCACTGTGCCACACATATGCTGACCCCAAGGTGGGGGGGGTGTTCTAATTTTCTCTACAAAGGATGATTTGGCAAATATCCATCAATTAGTAAATGAATAAAAAACTGCAATATATCCAGACAACAGGATATTATATAGCTCTCAAAAGAAGTAAGCTACTGATACACATGATGACAGATAAATCCCAAAATATGCAGATTATTAAAAAAAAGAGACAGAGAGGCCAGCTGGTGGCATGGTGGTTAAGGTGCTATATTACCACATGGCCCCCTGCAGTTCAAATCCCAGACTTGGTAGCTTGAAAATCACACTGGAAGTATGTGTGTGCAAACCCAAAATCCCAAGAGGAGATTGGAGAAGGGAGTGCTATGTGGCCATCCCCTCAAGGGGGTGATTTCTCACTTTCCCTCTCACTGTCTCTCTCTGGTAAGCAAAAATACCCTACAACAAAAATATTACCCCCCGCCCCCCCCAAAAATGTAGTTACTAAATGATTCCACATTTATATACAACTACAAAACTGCAAGGTTATCCACAATGACAGACAGAGATTGTGCTGCCCGAGGATGGATGGGAGAGGAGGAGGGGCCAGAGGGAGTGAATACAAAGGGTCACAGGGGCTTGAGAACTTTAGGGGTGATGGATCTTGATTCTTTTTTTTTCTTTCTTTCTTTCTTTTTTTTGGAGAGGTTTTTTGCTATAAGGCACGTGCACTCGCAAGACAGACAGAGAGAGAGAGAAAGAAAGCAAGAAATCACCCCCCAGGAGGGTGAGCCACGCCGCAATCCCTTTTCCTCCATTCTCCTCTCGGGATCTTGGGCACACACGCACACGCGCCCGGCGTGAGTTTAAGCCACTGGGTCCAGGACTCGAACCGCAGTCGACTACATGGGAGTCCAGCTACAAAGCCATAATGCTAACTGCTGGTCCCCTCTTTCTTTCTTTCTAAAAGAGGTTTTTACCTTAGGGCACATGCACTCACCAGAGGAAGAGAGACAGACAGACACAGTTAGAGAGAAAGTGAGAAATCACCCCCAAAGGGGATGGCCACACTGCAATCCCTTCTCCTCCATTCTCCTCCTGGAATCTTGGGCACACATGCACACATGCCTGGCGTGAGTTTTAAGCCACTGGATTTGGGACTCAAACCATGGTTGGCCATGTGGGAGTCCAGAGAAGTAACTGCTGTTACATCATCTGTTGGCCCCTGGATCTTGACTCTTACCACACTTCATGTACAGTTTATTACATGGAAATTACACTTGCAACAACAGTGAGCACTACATATCTCAAAACCTCTGCTAATCTAATAAGGTTAAAAAAAATCTTGTTTAATTTTCACTTATTTAATTATGAGTGGGATTGAATCTTCTCATTATCTTTTAGTCAGCTATTGATGTTATTTCTTTGATGAACATTCATATACTTGGATCATCTTTTCTACTTAAGACTGTTGTGTTACCTTTACATTTAACTGCCATTATTTTCATGTCATATACATTGATAACTGTTTCCCTAGCTTATTTCTTTATATTAAACTATTTTTCCCCCGAATGCTCCTTTATGTTTAAAAATACCTTGATTTTTCTGTGCTGGCCCCAAGGGTTAGTGGTTAAGGGAGCCAGATCCCACATGGCCAACTGTGTAGTTTGAATCCCAGCTCCAGTGGCTTAGAAAACACACTGTATGTATGTAATGTAAGTCCAAAATTCCAACAAGATGGAGTAATGGAAAAGAAGGGATTGAGGCATGAACATACCCAACTGGGGGGATGCTTTTTCTTTCTCCTTCTACTGCTCTCTGTTTCTCTGTCTTGTTCTAGTAAGGGCACATGCCCTCTGGCAAAATGTATTGAAAATGTGAATTTTCTGATTATAATAATAATACATACTTGGGCCAGCAGGTGGTATGTGGAGGTTAAGGTGGCTGGATCCCATATAGCTTACTGTGTGGTTCAAGTCTCAGACCCAGTGGCTTAAAACACATGCCAGGTGTATGTGTGAGCATGTTCAAAATCCCAAGAGGAGACTGGAGAAGAAGAGATTTGTGATGTGGCCTTTCCCCTCGGGGTGATTTCACACACTTTCCCTCTTTCTCTTTCTCTCTCTCTGGCAAGTTCACATACCCTATAACAAACTAAAAAAACAAAAAAACAAAATTCACATGCTCATTGAAAAAGAAAGACTAGGGAACCAGCAGTTAGCGTAATGGCTATGTCGCTGGACTCCCATGTAGTCAACTGCAGTTCGTGTCCCGGACCCGGTGGCTTAAAACTCACGCCGGGCACGTGTGTGTGCGTGCCCAAGATCCCGAGAGGAGAATGGAGAAGAAGGGATTGCAGTGTGACCATCCCCCCTGGGGGGTGATTTCTCACTTTCTGTCTCTCTTTCTCTGTCTGTCTGGAGAGCGCACGCGTCCTATAGCGAAAATCTCTCCAAAAAAAAGAAAAAAACAAAAACAAAAAATCTTTCTTCGAAAAAGAAAGACTAAATAAGGAAATAAAGACTATTTAAAGACAATCATCATTAATGTTTTGGTACATATCAGTCAGGTTTTTTCTACCCATGACAACTTTTTGTTTTGAGAGGTTTTTGCTATAGGGCGTGTGTGCTTTCCAGACAGACAGAGACAGAGAGACAGAAATCAGAAATCCCTCCCAAGGGGGATGGCCACGCCGCAATCCCTTCTCCTCCATTCTCCTCTTAGGATCCTGGGCACGCATGCACACGCACCCAGCGTGAGTTTAAGCCACCAGGTCCGGAACTTGAACCACGGTCGACTACATGGGAGTTCAGCGACATAGCCATTATGACAACTGCTGGTCCCCTTACTCAGACTCTTTAAAGTCTAATATTCTTGGGCCAGCAGGTTGTGTGGAGGTTAACGTGGTTGGATCCCACATGGTCAACTGTGCAGTTCGAGTCTTCAGCCTGAAGGCTTGAAAATCACACTAGGTATATGAGTGTGCCCAAAATCCTGAGAGAAGAATGGAGGAGATGGGATTGTGATATCCCCATTCCCCCTAAGAGGTGATATCTCACTTTGTCTGTCTGTCTGTCTTTCTCCTGGCAAGTGCATGTACCCTATAGCAAATTACACATATCCAAAAAAATCCAGTTACAGTTTTTACTAGAATTGAATTGAACCGACAAATTAATTTTCGAAGAATGGACATTTTTATGTCTTTTACCCTTTTCAAAGAAGAGCATGGCAAAAGTATCTCTAATATTTCAATAGTTTTTAAACTATTTTGATGAGATTACCAAGTAGTTAAAATATGTATATGTGTATATATATATATATATACACACACACACACACACACACATATATGTAGTTTTAAGAACTTGATCTTTTCCCTATTATGTCAATAATCAGTCATATCTAGTGCATTTAAAAAGCTACTTTAGTATTTTTATTTGGAATCAAGCATCTTACCAAACCCTTATGCATTCTAATAGTTTTTTGATGACTTGTTTTTAGTTTCTTTAAAACAGTGAGAGCTATGGTTTTTCCCTAGGGATTATGGCTTTTAATTGTATTGGCGGGCTTCCTGCATCACTTTATGTGCAAAAATCAAACCTAAGTAGATTAAAGTTCCACCTCTAAAATTGTCAGACAAGAAATACAAAAGAAAATCTTCATGGCTTCAGGCAGGGAAAGATTTCTTAAATCAGTCACAAATACCATAAACCACATAGGAGAAGGCTGATAAACTTGAAATATAATTAAAATTTAAATGAAAAATTTTAAATGCATGTTCAAAAGAAACTTAAAGCAAAAATATAAAGCAATACTAACAAGAGACTAATATCCAGAACTTATAATAAGTTAGTAAGAAAAAGACAAACAATCCAACAGAAAAACAAGCAATAGATACAAACAGAATATTCAAGACAAGACCTAAAAAGGCCAATAAACACATAAAGACAGATAGGCAGTCAGGGAAACACACATTAAAGCAAGACTAAGATGAGATTTCATTTTACTGGATTGGCCAAGGTAAAAAGTGTGATAATGCCAAGTGTTGATGAGTATACAGGGTGCAGGAATTCTCTTTATTTATTTTTTAAAAAGAATGATTTTATTTAACTTTATTTATTTATTTGCTTATTTTTAAAAATTTGGTCAGAGAAAGAAAGAGAGAGAGAGAAAGTGAGAAAGCAAGCTACCAGGTCCAGGACTTGAACCGTGGTCGGCTATGTGGGGTGGCACCTGGAATTCCTATAAGCTGCAGCTGAGACTCTATAAATTAGAAAAACCACCTCAGAGAGCAGTTTGACACCTAGTAAATCTGAAGGTGAGTCTACACAATGACCTTGCAAGATCATGCCTGGAAATACCTATGCACACACTTGAAGTGTATAGAAATACTAAGATACAAATAGGGTACATATGCAAGAGTATTCATTCAACAGCAATACCTGCAAGTAAAATTCAATGCCCATCAGCAAGAGAATGAATAAACAGTGTTATAGTAGCCTAAGATGAGTCTATCGGGGTGAATGAGCCATACATGCAGCGCCATATGGAGAAATCTCAAAAAAAATGTGGAGCAAAAATGTAAATTGCTGAGCAATTATACTATGCTGTCGTTTATGTTTTTTGTTTGTTTGTTTGTCTGTTTGTTTTAGTTTGCAATAGAGTACATGTGCTCCCTGGAGAGATGCAGAAACAGGGATGAAGTGAGAAATCACTCCTCCTCCCCCCACCCCCCCGACACACACGCACAGGGGATGGTCACACTGCCATCCCTTCTCTTCCATTCTCCTCTTGGGCATGCATACACATGTGCCTGGAGTGATTTTCAAGCCACCAGGTCTAGGACTTGAAGTATGCAGTCAGCCATGTAAGATCCAGTCATCTTAAACTCCTCTGCTGGCCCCACTTATGTAAAATTTCAAAACTATGCAAAACGAGGCTATATATTATTTAAGGATACACACTTTTATAATAAAGTATGAGAGAAGGATATACACTAGCTTTAGGGTAGTGATGTTATGTTTGGGGAGAAAAGAAAGGGAATGGAATTAGTAGACCACTGAGGGGCCCCATGTATTTTAATTACTTAAAAAATAAATATTGAGGGACCAGCAAAGGGCGTAATGGTTATGTCGCTGGACTCTCACATAGCTGACCGTGGTTTGAGTCCTGGACTTGGCGGCTTAAAACTCATGCCAGGCTCAGGGCTGGCAGGCGATGTAATGGTAGAGGGTGTGTGACTCCAACAAGGCCAAAAGTGGTGCAAGTCCCAGACCTGGAGGCTTGCTTTCTCACTACCCCCTGCCCCCATCCCTATCTGGTCAAATTAAAATAAATAAAGTTAAATAAAAGAATTATTTAAACAAACAAACAAACAAAAAACCCATGCCAGGTACATGTGCATGCCTAAGATCCCAGGAAGAGAAGGGATTGTGGCGTGGCCACTCCCTCTGGGGGGTGATTTCTTGCTTTCTGTCTCTCTGGTGAGTGCATGCACCAGAATCTCTCTAAAAAATAAACACACAAACCTTGAGGGGCCAGCAGGTGGCATGAGAGTTAAGGTGCTGGACTCCTACATGGTTTACTTTCTCACTTTCTCTCTCTCTCTAGTGAGTACATGTGCCCTATAGACAATTTAAAAGAATAATGATAATAATGATAATAAATAAAATTAAATAAATAATTTTAAAAATAAACCTTAAATATAGTGAAACTTTTCATTTATTAAGTCTGGGTGGGAGATTCATTAGTGTTTGATGTATATTTCTTTGTATTCTTCTGTATGGTTAAATATTACATAAATAGAAACAATGTAAGACAAAAGGCAATTTATAGTTCAAAATTTAATGAAAAATGAAAAGGGAATACAAAAGGCCCCAGAGCCTAGTGGTTAAAGGAACCAGATCCCACATGGCTGACTGTAGTTTGAACCCTAGCCCTTGGCTTGAAAAATACTGTGGACATGTGAGCATGTCCCAACAGAATGGGAAAATGGAAGACAAAGGACTGCAGCGTGATTACACCCCCTAGGAGGGTGCTTTCTCCCTCTGCCTCTGTTTCGCTGTCTCTCTTAGTGAGCACATGCATCTCTTGGCAATTAAAAATATATATATATATGGGTTTGGGGACCAGCATGTGGTGTAATAATTATGTTGCTGAACTCCCACAGGTCTGACTGTGGTTTGAGTCCCGGACCTGGAGGCTTGAAACTCACTCAGGGCATGTGTGTGTTTGCCCAAAATCTGGAGAAGAGAATGGAAGAGAAAGGACTGTAGCATGGCCATCCTCCCTGGTGGGGTGATTTCTCGTTTTCTCTCTCTGTCTCTCTGTCTCTCCAGAGAGTACACAGTCCTATAGAAAAAACCTGTCTAAAAAAATTGTGTCTAGTTTTAATAAACATTCTTCGAAATCCTTCTAAGTATTTTTTTTTTTCTCAATTTCATGAGAACCATAAAACTCTGTACTGAAGTCTGCATGCTGCTATTATGTAGTTACTAAGCGTGCTCGGATACTAACAAGGGACAAAAGGAAGGAAGGAGAAGGACATTTACACCAATACTTATCTCCACACGAGGGCACGTTCCCTGCTTCTTCTCCTGGCAATTTGTAATTATTTATGCAGAGTAACAGAGGAGCCCCAGGGAGACGCTCCTAAGGAAGATGCCCAGAGTGTCTGTGTAGAGCATGGAGGGAGTGAAATGACATGGCTGGGACAACAGCTTGACCCCTCTGTGGTCTGCAAGCAACAACTCTTCTCTAGAAAATCTTCAGCAATGTTTCTGGAAACCATCATCTTACATTTTTGGTTGCTTAGTTTGCTATAGAGCACATGCACTCACCAGAGAGAGAGGGGGAGAGAAAGAGGGAAAGTGTGAACGCACCTCCACCCTAGGTGGTATGGCCATGCCACAATCCCTTCTCTGTTCTCTTCTTGGTATTTTGGGCATACATGCATATGCACCCGGCCTGATTTTCAAGCTGCCAGGTCCAGGACTTGAACCATGCAGCCAGCCATATGGGGTTTCTAGCTGTCTTAACCTCTAAACCACCTGCTGGTTTCCATCTTGCTTCTTTCTTAGTCCTGTCTCAAATCTGATCACACCAATCTGGCACATAAACAACAAAAGCACCCTGTACTGAATTTCAAAGAAATCTTACCTTTTTCTCAAGTGCTTTGGTAATTGCATCCAGAACCACTTTATGGTGTGCGAACACTAAGAACTTCTCTCTCCCGCTTTCCAACAGGTCCAGGATATATTCACTGCATTGGACAATGACAGTAAAATAGATTATACTCATCCATTTGGGTTAATTACTGAAAAATGACTACATCTATAACAGACATCTTTAAGGCACCTGCCCTCCCCAGCCCAGAGGAGCCGACCTCTGCCCTTTTCCCTTCTACCCAGATGAATGGAAGCAGCACAATTCAGAGCTATGGGGCCATCTTCTTCTCCGTGTAAAAAGAGTTTTTTCATACACAAATAAATCATAGTACATTGTTTTACATGTTTCTGGTATGAAATGTTATTTTATCACCTGAGAGCATTGAGACGATTAACAACTGTACTTGAACTGTTACTATCATTACAATGTGTTTTGAATGCAAACTGAAGAGCCTACATATTTCTGTAAACATTTAGGTAGGGGGTTAAGGTTAGGTAGGGAGTTAAGGGATTCTGGAAGCTTCAGAGTGAGACATCAGTAATAACACTACGAAGACATTTGGGGAAGCTCTCAGTTCTCTCCCTTTTTGACTCAAGCAATAGAGCTAATAGTCAATTCCATGGCAGCTGAATTCCTGTCTAAGGCCAAGGAATACGGTGAGAAGGATCTATCTCATTCTCTTGAGCTCCTTGTAATTTACTTCTCTCCTCCATCCACAGTGTTTTTAACTTACCACCTTTTTTCTTTAGCCCTGGCCTTAATGCAAAGTGGCCGTGGGGATGCTACAGAGTGGGGAGTTCCTCAGTCAGCAGATCTTGGCCAGGTCCCCCCAGTTAGCAACCCGCAGGGAGTGACAATCCCAAAGAAGCCGGTAAGCCTGTATTGGAAACTGCTACAGTGGGCAAGGGGAAGGTGAGCGCCCTTGAGCACAAGACGCACCTGCCCAGCTGAACCCACCCTCAGACACGGGTATGTCTGGGCAGACAGTAGGCAATGCCTGTCTTCTCCATTTCTCCCTCTTAGGATTCTGGGCGTGCACGCGCATGTATGTGACATGTCTTCCAGTCAGTGGATCTGGGACTCAAACCATGCAGTTAGCTATGTGGATCTGGATTCCTTAACTGCTAGGTCTCAGGTCTGGCCCCAAAGTTTATTTTTGAAATGTCAAAACAGTCAGACTTAAGTTTTCTGGGCCAGCGAGGTGGCCTCATGGTTAAAGCAGCTGGATCCTACATAGTCAACTGCACAGTTTGAGTCCCTGATCCAGCAGTTTAAAAAACAGGCTGGGCATATGTGCGTGTGTGCCCAGAATCCCAAGAAAAAAAGTGGAAGAAGAGGGACTGTGGTACCATCATCCTTTCAGTGGGTGCTTTCTTACGTTTTCTCTCTTTTTTTCTCTGTCTCTATCCAGTAAGCGCACACGCCCTATAGTCAATTAAAAAAACTTTAGTTTTTCCCTAAGGGAAATGGGTGGTTCTAGGCCCAGAACAGGAGAGCCATAAATTCTGTAGGGCGCACACTGAGGAGCGAGGGAGAAAGCTCGCACTCTGGCCATCTGTTACCCAGCAGCATGTGACAAATGGGGTATTGGAGGTGATTCAGATTAGTGTCTAAGAGAGAAGTTTCCAGGTCATCGAAACTACACCTGGAGTTCACTAGTTCTGCAACAGGATCAGAAATGCAAAGGGCACTGCCTGGAGGGTGGAGGAGAACTGGCCAACATTTCACAGCCTTTCCTGAAGCATCAGAGATTTGAGCGATGTAGGAACTTGCTCTATTCCCACAGTTGAGGCGGCGCAGGGAGAGATGGGGGCTGAGGGATCTGGGGGCTGAGTAAGGGGGTAGGACAGGCTGAGGGTTTCTCAATTTACACACAGAACTTGGTCCCCCCAGGCAGTCTGGCACCAGTCAGTCAACCCACATGGAACTCACTTTTACTGTGATTTAATAGCTCGGAGCACTATCCTTCCTGTCAGAGTCTCACGCAAATGTTAAACAATAAAAAATCAGTGCGTCATTTCCATGGCCTGAAGTTTCCACCACAGTGATATTTGAACATGAGTGGGTTTTTCTCTCTTTCAGGGAGACAAATGAGTTTTTTTTTTTTAGAGGTTTTTGCTATAGGGTGCGTGCGCTTGCCAGAGAGACAGAGAGACAAAGCAAGAAATCACCCCCTGGGAGATGGCGACGCCGCAATCCCTTCTCCTCCATTCTCTTCTCGGGATCTTAGGCATGCACGCACATGCACCTGGCGTGAGTTTAAGCCACTGGGTCCGGGACTTGAACTGTGGTGGACTACATGGGAGTCCAGCGACATAGCCATTATGCTAACTGCTGGTCCCCTGAGTTTCTGTTTGTTAATTTTTTTTTTTTCTAGAGTGTGTATGCTTGCCTAAGAGAAGAGAGAGAGAGAGAGACCAAGACAGAGGGAAAGTGAGAAATTATCCCCTGGCGGGGATGGCCACACCATAATCCTTACTCCTCTATTCTCCTCTCAGGATTTTGGGTACACAAGCTTACATGTCTGGCATGATTTTCAAGCTGCCCTGTCAAGGGCTTGAATTGCGGTTGGCCGTGTGTGAGTCCAGCACCTTAACCACCATGCTACCTGCTGGCCCCAACAATTGAGACTGTTTTTGAAGTAGAGAAAATACTCTTGGAATAGAAATGATTACTTTAGCTTTAGTTTATAAGGTGGAGAGAAGAGTAGGTGATAATGACCACTTGTCTGTATCTTTTGAACAAACTTTTAAAAAATTAATTAATTTTAGAATTACCTATTTAATTTTACTTATCACTATTACTTTTTAATTTGACCAGAGAGAGACAAAGTGAGAGAGAGGATAAGTGAGAAAACAAGCTGCCAGGTCCGGGACTCGAACTGTAGTTGACCATGTGGGAGCCCAGTGTCTTAACAACCATGCCACCTGCTGGCCCCTCTTATGAACAAACTTTAACATCCATCTTTTCATTTACGTAAGTAACGACTGAAACCTTGTGTCTTTGGAGAAGAGCAGAGTATCCCATGAGGCAGCCTTTCCTCTACTTTTTTTCTCTAGATGCAAGTGATTAGTTTGCCTAGCAAGATGGAAGAGTAAGTGTTTAGACCAACACACCTCCCTTTGAGTAGCAGCAGCTCCAGCTCACTTGGGTTAAGACAGGATGGCTCAGGGATCCCAGGAACATCCCGGTAGTGGCTCCAGTGACAGACCCACTTATGCCTGTGGCTGATGTGATTATGGGGTCTGAAACTCTATTTTCAAGGCAGCTGGAATTTTAATCTCTGATCATTCTTTAGACAGCAGTAAAACCATTGTGATAGACAAGGTAGTAATTATTTTTTCCCCCCAAAGATGAAAGAAAAAGAGGGAGAGAGGAGGTGAGTGAGAGAGACCAACACTTGGGGACCACTTACATGACAGATGGGATTTTAGCTTCAGCTGTTCTGTTGAAGAAGAGAATGAGGGCTTCTTTCTGCTGCTTTTTCTGTTGAGAGAGAAGTCAAGAGTTTAAAGTCCCCCACTCTGAGAACTCTGAGACAAACTAATCTAATTACTGTTACTATGAGCTTCAGAAATCTTTTTTTCTTTTTTTAAAAATTTGCCATAGGGCGTGTGCACTTGCCAGAGAGCAAGTGAGAGAGAAGGTGAGAAAGCACCCCGGGGGGACTGTCATGCTGCAGTCCCTTCTCTTCTCTTCTCCTCTCAGGGTTTCAGGCGCATATCCAGCATTTTTTAAGACTCAGATCTGAGACTCGAACCACACAGTCGGCCATGTGGGGTCCAGCCACCTTAAACACCAAGCCACTGGCTGGCCCACAAATTTTAATCACCAGTCACCAGAGTTGGGAGTCCCTTGTGCAGGCAGTAACTTTTCCAGTCACTTGGGCCAAATCACCGGAACTGCCCAGGCTCTGGTTTTGCTCTTGGCGACATCATCATAACCATGCTGGGAGAAAAACGCAATGAGGCAAGGGACGTAACACTCTTTGGAAAGACACTTAGGTAGGGCTTCACTCACACACAACTGTGTGACCCACCGAACCACGGCCCTGGCCAGCCACACCTATTTACTGCATTTGGTGGCAATTCATACGTCATACCTGTACACCTTGTTTTCCGCCTCCCTCCTTTCTTCTGTCAAGCTGTGCCTATACCCAGCTGACCAAGCTCACCTCTGTGCAAGCCTACTGAACCAATTCCGCTGACCCTAACTAGTCTACTCTAGTGTCATTTCAAAGCCATCATGCACATGTTTTGGGCCTGTCTCCCACATAAGGTAGTTAACTTCCCAGGAGAAGAAACCAGGTTTTCTTTGTTTTGCATCTAAATTCTAATAAATAATAAAAATACAAGAGATGCTCAAATAACTTCGTAATAATGTGATGTAACATTTACTGTTCCTCTGGTCTCTCAGATTCCTTTACCATCACTGGTAGGGCAGTGCTATGGTCTGATGTTTGTCTTCCCAAAATTCACATGTTGAAACTTAATCTCCAGTGCAATGGTGTTGGGAGATGGAGCATCTGAGAGGTGATTGAGTCACAAGGGCAGAGCCTTCATGGCAGATTAGTGCCCCTATATGAGAAGTCCAAGAGAGCTTGTTTGTTTCTTCCACCAAGTGAAGATATAGTGAGAAGGTGCCATCTTTGAAGGAGAGATCTGGCCCTTACCAGGCACTTAATTTCCTGGTGCCTTGACCTTCGACTTCCCAGCCTCCAGAACTGTGAGAAATACGATGCTCAAATAACTTCGTAATAATGTGATGTAACATTTACTGTTCCTCTGGTCTCTCAGATTCCTTTACCATCACTGGTAGGGCAGTGCTATGGTCTGATGTTTGTCTTCCCAAAATTCACATGTTGAAACTTAATCTCCAGTGCAATGGTGTTGGGAGATGGAGCATCTGAGAGGTGATTGAGTCACAAGGGCAGAGCCTTCATGGCAGATTAGTGCCCCTATATGAGAAGTCCAAGAGAGCTTGTTTGTTTCTTCCACCAAGTGAAGATATAGTGAGAAGGTGCCATCTTTGAAGGAGAGATCTGGCCCTTACCAGGCACTTAATTTCCTGGTGCCTTGACCTTCGACTTCCCAGCCTCCAGAACTGTGAGAAATACATTTATATTGTTTATAAATTACCCAGTCTAAGGTATTATGTTAAAGCTATATGAGGAGACTGAGACAAGCAGCCATCTCCTTCCAGGAGCAAGCATGGATTTATAGATGTACCCTCCTTCTTGAGCCTGGGTCCAGTGAGAACAGTACCTGACATGAAAACTTCCTCACGGAACAAAGAAGTGACACTATAGTCATAACATCTATAGCCCTGAACTCCGTATTTCTGGGTTCTCACTAAGTGAGGAAAATAGCCACAGCCAGAATGTACCTAAAATTATTGACACCATGGTTGATGGAAAATGTTGCCTGGTCAGAACAGCTTCTTCGTTTGAACAGTATCTTTGCTCTAGGACTTCATAGGAAAGAAGAGATATACCAGGAACCACAGGAATCCATATGGGCAGGAACTGGGTAGTGCATCCCTTTTATTTTCTACATGTTTCATGGAAGTGGCAGCCACAGCCCTCCTATGTTGTGGCAGTTGTTTGATGGAACAACTCAAGCTTCCTGGGAACTCAGTTTGCAGATCTAACTCCATAGTGATGTGTCTCACTTCTTCCAAGCCTTCAGAAGATATAGTGAGAAGGTGCCATCAGAGTCTGCTGAGGCTCCAGACACACACACAACTTTTCACCTGTGGCCAGTGACCCCCAAAGGGGCTCTTACAGCAGGTTAGGCCCTCTACCTAATGTGATCTAAAATACACCAAAGGCAGAACATGCTCACTCCGAGTGACCTCCCTGCAGTGCGTACACCTCAACTAGACTGCGCCCTAGTCATCCTCAGCCTACAAGTTTGCTCCCATGTCCTTCAGAGCGTCAGCCTCTCCCATCCACTCTTTTTTTTTTTTTGCATTTTATCTTATTTTATTTTACTTTATTTTATTTTTTCTCTTTAAATTTATTTATTTTTTACATTAATTCACTATACATCATTACAGCATACAAATTAATTTTCCATCCAAAATACACTGTATATTGGCTCAATCAAGCACATCAACATACATGTTATCAGCAAATAATTTTCCATTTCTTTTGTCTTGTATACTTTGTTTTTTTGTTTTGCCATCCTCCTATCCACTCTTACTATACACTTCCAAGTAAGAAAGGGAGATGGAGAAATAGTAAAAAGCACTTCTGGAAACCTTGTCCCAAGATTTAGCATCTAGAGTTGACAGAGGTGTGAAGAAATAAACATCTTTATTACACAAGGTCGGTGGGATGGTCCCTGGTCTGACCCTGTGGGATGATGTGGCAATATGCACCAAAAAGCCTTTAAAATCTATTCAAACCAGGGACCAGCAGTTAGCGTAATGGCTATGTTGCTGGACTCCCATGTAGTCCACCGCGGTTCGCATCCCGGACCCGGTGGCTTAAAACTCACGCAGGACATGTGTGCCCAAGATCCCGAGAGGAGAATGGAGGAGAAGGGACTGCGGCGTGGCCATTCCCCTTGAGCGGGGTGATTTCTCACTTTCTGTCTCTCTGTCTCTCTCTGTCTTTCTGGCGAGTGCATGCGTCCTATAGCAAAAACCTCTCCCCCCTCCAAAAAAAAAAATCTATCCAAACCTCATGATGCAGCAAGTTATTCCTTAAAATTTATCCTTATAGTATAATCAGATGTGCATAAATTTATATATAAGCTTCTTCTTTCAGTGTAGTATTACTCAGAATAGTGAGCAACTGAAAATAACTTTAAGTTATTAAAATGATTAGCCAATGGCAAAATTATAACATAGTCCTGTGAGAAAATACTATACAGCCTTTAAATCATTTCAAAGGAACATCTAACAACATGGAAAAGTCTTCCTGACATGGTTCTGCAAACCATTTTCCTCCTCACTTGATGTGTTCGTATGGTTCCAATTCTGCTTTAGAAAGAAAAAACGTATGTGTGTATATGTTGCTTATTACATATATGTAATGTTCTGCATATATAAATAAAGCGAAACATATATAAATATTATAGAAAATACCCAAATGATATATGCCGAATTATGTGATAGCAATGATTTTTTTTTTTTTTTTTTTTAGTAATTAAAAAAATAACTAACACTTACATACCACTTACTATGAACTAGGCAGTATTTTAAGAACTACATAGGCATTAATTCAATCAGTATTTCTGGGCCAGCCTAACGGCCTGGTGGTTAAGGATTCAAATCCTGGCCCCAACAGACTGAGAAACATGCTAGGCGCATGTGCGTGTGTGCCCCAAACACTAACAGGATGGAGTAATGAAGAAGGGAACACAGTGTGACTAGGCTCCATTAGGGTATTTTAGCTCCCCCATCCCTTTCTCTCTGGTGAATCCTGTGGCAGTGACAGGGTAAAAAAATCTGAAAAAACTACTGAATAAGTAACATTTACGGAACACTTGCTACATGCTGGGCATATTTCTTCATGTGTTCTGGCTCATTTAATTCTCATCATTAGAGTCCAAGCCCAGATATTTGAGATCTAGAGTCTGCACGTTTAAGTGCTATAGAGTCTGGTTCTGGTCATTTAGCAGCAGTGTGACAAGTGAAATCATTGGACTTTTTGCTTCAGTGGGACCTGGTTCCCTTAACTACTAGGCTACAGGGCTGGCTTGTATTTTTTATAAGGGAGGTTTTTGCTATAGAGCGTATGTACTCGCCGGACAGAGGGACAAAAAGTGAGAAATCACCCCCCAGGGGGATGGCCACACCATAATCCCTTCTCCTCCATCCTCCTCTTGGGATTTTGGGCACACACACACACACTTGGCGTGAGTTTAAGCCGCCGGTGTGGGACTCGAACTGCTGTCAATTACTAGGAATCCAGTGACATAACCATTATGCCATCTGTTGGTCCCAACATCCATTATATTCTTAATGTGGAAGAAATAAATGGACTCTAAAAAAAGAAAAAACAAACAAACAAAAAAACCAACAAACTCCATTAAACTGGGTAGATATAATACTATCCATTAATGATCTCATTTCTTTTCTAGCTAAGGGGCAAGAAATCTTAAATAACCTGCATTCTTTGTTCCTGCCTCCTACACTTTTACTAAATGATATCCACTGAAGTTTTCACATTTATTTTCCTGTGTTGGACATCTGAATGGATTGTGAAGCAGCCAGAGTGAAACGATATTGTCACCAGGAAGTCTGTATGGACTTTCTCTATTTTTCTGCTTCTGGTCTTGCTGATCAAAAAATGGCTCTAGACAAAAGATGATAACAGCCAGTTTTCTTTGGCCTGTGAAGATATCCATTATTTCAGCTGAAAAATGAGAAAAGGCTTTCGTTATAGATCGTATTTTATAAATTGGCTGCTTCACCTTGGTTTCTGTGCTTTAAAGCTTTTCAAAAAAATATCTTCCTCCAGATGGAAAGGTGTGAAGGAACAAAGAATCAGTTCTTGCCAGGCAGGTTGGCAGTGGTTGGCGAGAGCCACCAGGATGCGCGAAACTGCAGGGAAACTTGGGACTAAAGAGCAACTGTGAAAACTGGGGGTTGGAGGGTACTTTCTGTAGCCTTGTGGGGCCTCCATATTTGACAAAAAGCCTAAAAACATGAGTCCCCATTTTAACTCTTTCAATTCAGGATTTCCTAGCTCCCTGAGTTTGGACAGGATGTCTATAGTCATCTAATCCAAACCCCACTCCTGAATTAGGTTCAAGCAACATCTTTGGTCAGATCCTAGGTTTAGAAATTCACCAAATCAGTGGTTTTCGAAGGAGAAATGTTTTGATGGTCCAAAGCACACAAACTTGCCTTCTACTTGGATTTTTTATTACAAAAATGAATCTATATTAAAGAACATCAAAGGGCATCAAGTTCTCAAGGACTTACTTATCACTGAAAAGAATTTAGTGTCTGGCTTCAGCATTATACTAAAGGTAATCTGTACCAAATCAAATTTTCTTTTCTTTTTTTTTTAAAAAAAGGTGTAATTATTACTATTATTATTTTTTTTTTTTGGAGAGGTTTTTGCTATAGAGCGCATGCACTCACCAAAGACAGAGAGAAACAGAGAGACAGAAAGTGAGAAATCATCCCCTGGGGGGATTGCCACGCCATAATCCCTTCTCCTCCATTCTCTTCTCAGGATCTTGGGCACGCATGCACATGTGCTCGGTGTGAGTTTCAGTCACCGGGTCTGGGACTCGAACCACAATCAACTACATGGGAGTCCAGTGACACAGTCATTACACTAACTGCTGGTTTCCCAAAAAAGATTTAATTTTATTTATCATAATTATTATTATTTTTTAATTTGCTGCAGGGCATGTGTGCTCACCAGAGAGACAGACAGGCACATACACACACATACACAGAGAAAGAGAGAGAGAAAGAAGAAGAGAGAGAGAGAGAGAGAGATAAAGCAAGATGTCAAGTCCAGAATTCAAAACACAGCCAGACATGTGGGAGTCCAGTGCCTTAACCATACCACCTGCTGGCCCCCAAGTCAACTTCCATCTTTCAGAGATAAATGCTTAATTTTCCTAAGACTTTAAAGAAGTAGCAAATATCAACTCTCAAGTCCTGGGCTAAGAAGAGTTCTGGGCTCTTTCTCAGCTGGAATCTTGACAAATTACACTACAATTTAGGCTTTACTTTCATAATCTACATAATAGAGTTAAGACTTTGGAGTGTTTACAAACCAAAGATGATAATCATACTCTGGGTATTTGGCACTACCCATAGGTACTTCTCTAGTGCTAAGGTAGATTGTGGTTCCCCTTTCTAGGTAAGAGAGTATTAACATATCCCAAAGCATTTAAAGGATTTGTATAGCTACCTAAAATTATAAATCACCCCCATCCTGATTTCCATGCTTCATCCTACTCAATTTCATATCATTGCCAATAAATTCAGAAATCAAACTTTCCAGATACATATTAAATTATCATTGGTAAGAGCAGTTACCTAACCTGAAGACTCAACAAGTTGGCTGAAGTTTAAAAAAATGCTTCTATACCTTGCTGGACAAATTAAGTACGGTATTCCCATTGCTTCTACTTCTTTCTTTTCTTTTTAGCCATGCTGCACAATTCATGTTGGTTCTTTGCCATTTAACCTAACTTTTCTCCTCAATTCAATGGAAAACTCCATGGCAGAGATGGTACGTGCTCACTTCCTCCAGGCCACCCATCCAGATTACGATGTGCAACACAACATAAACAGAGCTGGACAGTGTAACCAGTATGTCCTCTATCTTACCCCTACTTACGATTACCAGATAGTCTTGTTCATCACATGGTAAGATAATATTAAGAACACCAGGCATTTGCTCTCTTGTCATTCTTATTCATTCCATAATCCCCCAGAAGACTGAAACCTCATCTATATTTAAGTTTCTTGGTATGGAATAATATCAAGCCCAGATAATGCTTTATGATAATGTCAAAAAATATCAATGACTGTTATTTTCTTGGCAATGAAAATTACAAGGTTCTATCTAAAACAAAAAACAAAGACAGAGCTGGAGTAGATTACTCTGCAGCACTCGGCACAGCAGGACACTAAAGATATGAGGTATGTGTGCTGAAAACACAAAATCACCACGGTGCCCAGAGCCCTAAAATATAGTCGCGGGGCTTGGCTGTAGCCGTGGCTCTGCCCGGGTGTGGCCAGGAGACGATGGGCAAACTGCAGTCTTCGTGAGCATGTTTCCCTCTCCGTAAAATGGGGATGCCAACTTCCTAACAGAGATGGCTCCAATAAGGATTCAAAGGCTGAGAGGGTCTGACAGCTCTACTTTGATGTATATATAAATGTCAATTTGTTTTCTGATGACCGACTGACATGGTGTGGTTGGAGGGTTAACATGTGGATCAAGTACACGATCTGAGCTGATGTGCTGACAACTGTCACTAGACTAAGGCATTCTCAGAATTAAACTTGTCAACAGTAAACGTGATTCCAACTTTCTTTGAGGGATTCTGAATGTAGGTCACCACCCTACTGTTGCCCTACGGGGTACTTTTAGGACCATCCATCAACGGGGATCTATTAATACATAGTCAGACATACTACCACAAATTATCAATAACAGAGATCTGTGAAACGGATAGAGAATGAGAAAAAGAACGAGCCCACTGATCGTGGGAAAAGGTTCTGGAAAGGCAGTCCAGAAAACTGGGTCATTTCCACAGGGCCCTTCACGGGAAGGAACACGCATGGACGTGTCTGCTTCCATGTCTCCCGCCCCAGACTCAGACTCACAGTTTTGTCTGTGGTCATCTCCTTGGCTGCGGTATCCAGGGCTGCCCTGACACTGGCACTGATCCGTCCTGGGGCGACCACCACCATCTTGCGCTGTTTGGCAGGCAGCTGGGAAAGGACGTCAGACTTGAGGCGCCGCAGCATGACTGCTTCCTCCAGCAGAAGCTTCAGCTCTCCCAGGTTGGAGGAGCCCGAGTAATCCCATCCCCATGACAGCTGCGGGGGACAGAGACCCGTCCTGTTAGACTCCTCGCTGGCCCAGTCCTACAGGGCCCTGAGCTCCAGGCTGGGTTCTCTTCTCAAAAGCACCCCTGGCTTTGCTCAGAGAACTTCCAGCTTCTATGCAAGGATAAATAAACCCCAAGTAAGGCAAATGAAAAATAAAGGGAAAGGAGAAAAAAAAGAAAGTAAAAAATGCAGTGAACCAAAAACTCATACCATGGTGTTCTATAATTTGGTGCTAAACCCTCCGGCAGCAAAGGCAAAACATTAAGTGAGTTGGTATCCATTTTATTAAAAAAAAGAGAAAACTCAGCTTGTCAGACTATTCCTGCGTACTATGTAAAAAACAAATCTCCCCCAAGGCTTATCCTACAGAATCCATTGCACAATGTAATAAATCATGGCAGGAACATCTTCACTTCACGAAACTTTTAGGGATTTTATAAACTGCCGTTCCTCAATGTGGATGACACCAACACACACAAGCGTAACCCAGTCAGGACAACTGAGAGCTGCTATGGATGGTAGTTTAGATCAGGAGGAAACACCCAGAACACAGGCTTCTGCCAGTGTGGCAGAACCAGGGATAGCTCTGGAACTCCTGGACTGTCCTTCATGAATGCAGTGCCCTCATTTAGTAGATGGTGGGAGGCGGTGAGCTGTACTACACAGCCGAAGATGTTAGCAATCAAAATAAAAACTCAGGCCAGCTGGTGGCATGGTGGTAAGGCAGCTGGGTTCTACAAAACCAACAGTGTGGTTTGAGCCCAGAACCGGGTGGTTTGAGAAACATGCAGGTGCACGAGTGTGCACGGTCAAATTCCAAAAGGAGAGATGGAGGAGGAGGGATTGCAGCATAGCCGTTCCCCACGAGGGTGCTGTCTCGTTTTCTTTCTCTCGATATCTGGTGAACACACGTGCCTTCTAGCAGATTCTAAAATAAATAAAGTATCCTTCACTGGAAACAGGAATGATTTATACATCCTGAGAAAACCGAGGAGCCAGTGTGTGAGCTACCTGAGGGCAGGAAATGACCTCGTTCGTTTTAGAGGGCCTAAGGGCCTAGCACAATGGAGACTGAAGAGGTGTCCTAAATTAGCTAAACTGAGAGCACGAAGAGATGATCAAAGGAGAAGAAATGAAATGATCAAAAGCTGTTTCTTCCTTACAAAAATTACTGTGAAGCCAATGGGAAGCTCTCAGCAAGTGCCTCCAACAGCCATGGGGTCACAAATGAGCCGGCATGAGGTATTTCCTTCAGTGGCTTCTCTTAATGCATGAAGGTGGCAAAATAAATAAACATATAAACACAGTACTGGCCTATGGGTCTCTTTAAATAAAAACTTTGCTGAGAACAAGTAGATATCACAATTAATTTGGATATCACATTGCTGGGTTATAATATTGTCAGCATTTAATCTTGCAGTTAAAACTCAGTAACACCGGGAGACCAGCAGTTAGCGTAATGGCTATGTCGCTGGACTCCCATGTAGTCGATTACAGTTCGAGTCCCAGACCCGGTGGCTTACAACCCATGCCAGGTGCATGTGTGTGCGTGCCCAAGATCCTAAGAGGAGAATGGAGGAGAAGGGATTGCGGCGTGGCCAACCCTCCTAGGGGATGATTTCTCGCTTTCTGGCTCTCTGTCTTTCTGGTGAGTGTAAGTGCCCTATAGCAAAAATCTCTCAAAAAACAAACAAACAAACAAACAAAAACAAAAAAAACACAACTCAGTAACACCGGGGCCAGCAGGTGGTGGTTAAGGACGCTGGACTCCCTTATGGTCGACTGTGGTTTGAGTCCTGGACTTAGGAGCTTGCTTTCTCACTCTCTGTCTCTCTTTCTGTCCCTCTATGGTCAAATTAAAATAAATAAGTAAAGCTAAGCAAAATAACTCTTTTTAAAAAATTCAGTAATACCAAATATTTTAAATGGGACTATGCTTTTCTTAAAAATTTACCTAGTACCAGGCATGCGGCTAGGTGGCAAGAAGGATGTGAGATGAGGAGTGTGCTGTGTGTTTTACTGAGGTGGCTATGGGGCAATGAGGAGGGAGAAGAATTAAATGGTGAAGTCCCAGTTTTTGGGGTGAGATGGTTGCCTGGCTGGGGACACAGGAAGGGGCAGCCTGGGGAGTAAAGGCATGAGTGCTGTCTCTAGCTCCTTTTACCACCAGTTGAAATCATTACCCGAAGACCCAGGGAGTCAAGAAAGAGAAAAGCCTTTTCAGAAAGTAGTTTACTAGGGGAACCAGCAGTTAGTGTAATGGCTATGTCGCTGGACTCCCACGTAGTCGACCATGGTTCGCGTCCCGGACCTGGTGGCTTAAAACACACTCCAGGCGCGTGTGCGTGCGTGCCCAAGATCCCGAGAGGAGAATGGAGGAGAAAGGATTGCGGCATGACCATCCCCTCTGGGGGGGGATTTCTCGCTTTCTGTCTCTCTGTCTGGCAAGCGCACACGCCCTATAGCAAAGACCTCTTCAAAAAAAAAAAAAAAGAAAAAAGAAAGAAAGTAGCTCACTAGGACCAGCATGAGCATGTGGTACAGTGGGTAGGTGCTGGACTCCCACGTGGTCAACAGCGATTCAAGTCCCAGACCCGGCAGCTTGAAATTCACATTGGTGCATATGCATGAGGCCAAATTCCAAGAGGAGAATTAAGAGGGGATTACAGTGTGGCCATCCCCTGACTTTTCACTCTGTCTCCCTGTTGAGCACAAGCCCCTATAACAAAAATCTCTCTCAAAAAAGAAAAAAAGAAAGAAAAAAGTAGCTCATTCACAAATAGGTCAGAGGTATAAATCACAGATGAAGAATGGAATTACAGATGTAGTTAGAGATGTGAATAGCATACATTTTTAACAATTGAGAAATTTCCTTTCTCAATAACCAGCTAAAAATAGTTTGCAATTAACTGGGCTGAACACTACAATTCACATTAGGAGCATTTTATTTGAATGTAAATGGATGTTTTTAAAGTATTTGAAAAGTTTCTTTTTAAAAATATTTTAAAAATGAAACACTTTCTTTACATCATGAACTTGCAAAGCAAGGCTTGTCCCTCAAAGATTTGTGGCGTGAGTTTCAGACACCTCTCGGAAGTATCAGTGTCTCTGAGGAGCTCAGTAGATTCGTGACTCAATCACAAAACACAAGTCGCTAAGGTCTGAGTTAATGTGCTTCCAGAAACTGAGATTATGACTGCAATGGATGTGCTTATAGTCCCCATTCCTGCCATCCCTAGAGACCTGAAGCTGTGTTAAACTGTAGCTCCAGTTTTATGTGGTGTGTAAATCCGCACCATATTCACAGAATAATTTGTGGGCCAGAGGCTTCTGGCCTAGTGACCAGGCACGATTCACTTCAAGGAGTCAACATTTAGGAACAAAGGCTCACTGAGGAGGGCCCACCCAGGGAGCTTGGGATCACGCTCCCACTCTCCCTCTTCAAAGGCACTCCTTTGCCTGTTTTGCACACAGAGGATTTTTTCACTTCTAATTCAGAATCCCCCCATGCCATCTTTTCTGCTTTCTTCCCTCTCCCTAGGGCCTCAGCCTCTAGGTCACCTCAGGGCCTTTTTGTGGGGCAGCATCTGACGTGGATGCTCCTTCTGCAGCTCCAGCCCCGTCCTTGTGCAGGAGCTGTAACCTCAGGCAAGAGCAGTTGGCTCTCAGAGCTCCACGTACCTGTGCATTAACCCCTGGTCCCTTACTGGAACATAGTGACCTCGAACCTCCACAGAATTAAAACTAGGAAGGATCACCTTCCCCTTGAGAACACTGCAAGATCAGAGAGTTAAAGAAAAACTAAAATCTGGGTTGTTTCCTGGCCAGTGCTCTTCCTATCATACCACAGCCAAAGAGAAAAACAGAAAGCTACGAGTCCAAATCAGGGTGAGGGATGGGTGGACCCAGGAGGGGAGAGAGAGTAAATACCCGCTTGGCATCACAGTAGCGAAGTCCAAAGGCATGAAACTGAGGGAAGAAGGTTGGCTTGACAGCAATGATCTGCGAGTAGAGCTCTGCGGGCCGGGACATGGCTGGTGTGCCCGACAGTAGGATCACCCTCTTGGCAACCTGGAAAACAAACAGCCAAAGGTGCTTTGAAGAAGAGGAGGAGTACTGGTGAAAACCCAAAACGCTCTAATGAGGTAGGAGCTGGATGCCCCCAGGAAGAGCAAAACCCCCTGGAGTCGAACGTAGCTACCTGTCACTTCCTGGGAGTTTCCTTGTTGCTGGCAGTTCTTGCAGTTAATCATCGTAAAAGCAAGGCTACTTCTAGAGTCCAAGGTTGCTAAAGATCACCCTTGCTCTGGGACTCTGTCTGACAAACTAGGATCTCTGAGAAGGTATTATGACCACAGAAAAAGGCCATGCATGTTGTAGGAGCCTGCTAGTCTTGTTAATACAAGCAGTAAGATGCTACCTCCTTTTCTTTAAGTCCTTTCTAGCCACCTTCATGGCATCTTCTGCCAATTTCTATCATAGCACTTAGGACATTGCACTGGTTCACAACTTCTTGAGATAAAGGGCCAAGCTACACTCACCTTTATTTTCTGTACCACAGTGCCTGGAATCAGGCAAAAGAAACAATGAATGTTCCTAGATGCTGAAAACAATTCAGAAGGAAACTAGGATACTAGGGAACAGGAAGAAAATGCAAAAAAGCCAGCTTTGAAACTAGAAGGTGGAGGGACAGCAACAGGTCCAACTTCCTCCAGAATGTATTTCTGACATTCCCAGTATTAACAGGAAGTTGAACTTACTATTAGATAATGACCCCTAGGACTAGGTCTATGTACACAGTGTCAGTCATGTGGTTTTCTTTATCAAAAAAAAAAGGCCATTATGAACAGCTTCACAATGTCTAGAGCCCAGAGATCCATGGCTCAGGCTCATTTTGCAGTTAATAAGGACTTTTAAAGATGGTACCTGGATTCATTCACTCTAAATTCAGCCTAGGTCTGCAGGAGCCTGTTTTGATGTGGGATGGATAGAAATATTTAAATATCAATAGTTGATCAATTCCAATGACTAGCTCCAGATGACTCAATACCCTGATCCTGCCTGACCAAAGGAAATGAGACCCAAATATTCCACCTCTTAGTTATTAATTTTTTTAAGAATGATTTTTGCTATAGGGCATGTGCATTTGCTGGTAAGACAAAGAGAGACAGAGACAGAAAGCAAGAAATCACCCCCCGCACCAGGAGGGATGGCCATGCTGCAATCCCTTCTCCATTCTCCTCTCGGGACCTTGGGTGCATGCACAAACACATGCGCCTGGTGTGAGTTTAAACCACCAGGTCCAGGACTTGAACTGTGGTCGACTACATGGGAGTCCAGTGACGTAATCATTATGACATCTGCTGCCCTTCCTCCACCTTAGTAAGAGGGGAAACGGTGAGAATAAAAAAGGAGCCACTTCCTACAGTACTGGAACATAGAATCTCCACAGATTACTGGAGGTAAAATTCATTTCAGCTCTGGCAAGGGCCCCTACCATGGTGCTCAGCTGTCTAGAAACAGCCTGTTAACCACTATAACCTAGAGTTAATGACTATAACCTGAGTGCTGTAAATCACCTAGGGGGAAATTAGGTTTTCAAATGGAAACACTGCCTCATAAAAAATAAATAAATAAAGGTGCGGCAGAGGGAAGAAAAATGATTCTTGATAAATATACAACACTCAAATTGCACTTTTGCCCTCTCAGCAACCGCCAATACCTAATTCCATTATGATGGGAGAGCTAGGAATTTCTCTAGTAATAACTGTGCACAGTTCAATTACCTAGGCTTTCTAATTTCCTGCATGGTTTAATGCATACTCATTAAAATAACAATGAGCTTCATGAATGACGTGGGCAACATCTCTTGCCTGGGCGGCAGACCGTTTCAATGGAAGGGGGAAATGAAAACTTTTATCAGTAAGAGAAAATCTGTCCATCACCCTAGACCTATTCGCATGCTGCTGTGCTTGCTTGGGGAAGGGGCCTGGACAAAAACAGCTCAGGGATCGGGTGATGGACGCCAACTCCAGGGTCTTCTGTCAGGTATTTATAGGATGGAGTTAATACGGAGTCAGTTCTCCCAAACACTTCCCAGACTAGAGAATGACGGGTCCTTTTCAAAGGGATGTTTGAGGGTGCTGAGACGCAGAAGCAGCATTACGGACAAAGAAAAAGGCCAGCTCTGGAGAGAAACCAGAACGTCATCTCATCTCTCATGGAACGCGCTAGGTTACACCTCGCTTGGCCCTGGCATGTCTGTATGGTCACTGCTGTCACCCACGTGGCCTTCAATCTGTGCCGAGCTGCAAATGATTTATATGTTACCCTCCAACTCTGAGAACTTCCAATCTAGGAAAATGTAAGTATGAAAAACCATGTACGCCAACACTAAACTGAACACTGTACAATTAACTCGCTGGCTAAGGAAAGAGAGTGCACCCAAGAACTCCATACTGAAGCAATGCTGGAAAGATCATGTGATTCACAGGGGCAGACACTGTTGAGGATTCTCTCTTTTTTTATTTTTTAAGAAGAGGTATTTTTGGTACATGTGCTTGTTGGAGAGACAGAGAAACAGAACGTGCGAAATCATCCCCCTGGTGGTGGTGGTGGGGGGGAATGGCCACATGGCAATCCCTTCTCCATTCTCCTCCCAGAATTTTGGGAATGCATGCACACATGCCCAGCATGAGTTCCAAGCCACTGGGTCCAAGACTCAAACTGTGGCCAACTATGTGGGAGTCCAATGAAGTAAAGATTACGCCATCTGCTGGTCCCAGCGGACAGATGACTTCTAAAACAGGCTTCATTTCCTCGTGGGCTGGGGGTGGGAAAGCCCTGCAGAACAGTTTTCTGGCAGGACAAGTTGGTATATATAATTTATCAAAAGGAATCCAGTTAGTAATTCAAAGTAAATAATCTACATGTACATTTTTAAAATAATTATTTAATTTAGTGTTATTATTATTTTAAATATTTTGCTATAGGGCATGTGTGCTCACCAGAAAGAGACAGAGAGAGAGAGACAGAGAAGGAGAGGGACAGAAAGAGAGAAAGCAAGCTGCCAGGTCTGGGTCTCAAACTGCAGTCAGCCATGTGGGAGCCCAGTGTCATAACCACCCTATCACTTGCTTGCCCCTACATGTAGATTTTTAAATATGAGTCAAGAGGATATTTATTGTAGAGAAAAAGAAAAGATCCTATAGCAAAACTCTCTTTAAAAAAAAAAAAGGTAGAGTCATTTGAAATAATGAGGAATAATTTTAAAGATACATTAAAAGGAAAAAGGTAGAGGTAAAAAGAGTGGTTTCAGGAAACTCTCAGGAATGAGAAACACCTTTGTACCTACAGGGCTATTTTATAGATATCAAACCGAAAGTGTAACTGCGGCTGCCTTTGGAGAGAGAAACTGAGGGCCTAGGGGTGCAGAGGTGAGAAGGTGACTTATCTTTCACTGTCTATCCTTTCATACCATTCAAATGTATCATCTATTAAAACTACCTTAAAAAAAGGAAAAGGGCCAGCAGGTGGCATGGTAGTTAAGGCACTGGGCTCGCATATGACCTACCACAGTTTGAGTCCTGGGCCTGATGGCTTGTGAATTACGTTGAGCGTGTGTGCATAAGTGCCCCAAATCCCAAGAGAAGGGAAGAGAAGGGATTGTGGCACAGCCATCCTCCTGGAGAGTGGTTTCTCCCTTTCCTTTCTCTGTCTCTCTCTGGAGAATGCATATGCCCTAAGGCAAAACACTAAAAAAGAGAAAGGAAGAAAAAGGAAGAGAAAAAAGCTCCTACATTTTAGCCACTATCTCATCTGGCCAATGAACAGAAATATAAAATGTACTCTTCTCATAGAAAAAGAGAAATAGTTATTTATCAGGAAAGGGTGGTAGGATTCAGGGAGCCTTTTCTTTTTAAACAAAATGATTTTTTAAAAAAGAATTATTTAATTTTATTCATCATTATTTTTATTTTTTAAATTTGACCAGAGAGAGAGACAAAGTGAGGGAGCAAGATGCCAGGTCCAGGACTCAAACTGCTGGCAGCCATGTGGGAGTCTAGCACGTTAACTACCACATCATCTACACACCCCTAAAATACTTTTTCATTTTGTTATTTTACTGGTTTATTAATAAAAATCTATGTAAAAAAAAAAAAAAAAAAAACACCTACCCCTACACACATACGCAACTAAACAAAGAAAACCCCAACACACCTCCTTACGGTTCAAAAGAGCACTGACAATCTTCAGGGCTGGAGTCCGTGGGGAAAAAGGGCCTCTCACACAGGCTGAATGGGAGTGAAGACGGTGCTGCCTGGCCCTCTGGACTCATCTCATTTCCATGAAAGGTAAGGTGAAAATGACCTAGTAACGGTAGGAACTGGTCCCCACAGAATATGCAGGGTACGTGTATGTGGGTGATATTACCTGCCGAATTATTTTTAATAGCAAGAAAGGGAGACAACCAAGTGCATCACTTAAAGTTAGGATACAAGCTGCATCTAGACAGTGAGATGCCCCAGTCATTACACATGATTATTGGGACCAGCAGTTGGCGTAATGGCTATGGTTGGACTCCCATGTAGTCAAATGCGGTTCGAGTCCCAGATCTGGTAGCTTAAACTCATGCTGGGCGTGTGTGCGTGTGTGCCCAAGTCCCGAGAAGAGAATGGAGGAGAAGGAATCACGGTATGGCCATCCTCCCCGGGGGGTGATTTCTTGCTTTCTGTCTCTCTGTCTCTCTCTGTCTTTCTGGCGAGCACACTCGCCCCAACACAAAACCTCCCCAAAAAAAAAAAAAAAAAGGTTATCTTGTGGCCAGTTAGTGGTTAATGCAGCTGGATCCCAGATGGCTGACAGCCAGGTTCAAGACCCAGACTTGGCGGCTTGAAAAACATGCCAGGCATTGGGGCCAGCAGATGGCATGGCGGTTATGTTGCTGTACTCCCACGGCTGACCATGGTTTGAGTCCCAAACACGCTGGCTTGAAACTAACGCAGATGTGCGTGTGTGCCCAAAATCCCAAGAGGAAAATGGATGAGAAGGGATCATCCCCCCTAGTCATCCTCCCTGGGGACTGATTTCTCACTTTGTCTTTCCATCGTTCTGTTTCTCTGGCAAGCACATGAGCCCTATGGCAAAAAAATATTTTCCCTCCAAAAAAGAAAAACATGCCAGGCGTCTGTGCAAGTGCCCAGAAAATCTTAAGCGGAGAATGGAGAGGGGACTGCAGAACAGCTATCTATCCCCCAGGGGTGGTGCTTTCTCACCTTCTCTCTCTCTCCCTAGCAAGCCGACAGCAAAATTTTAATAAAGAAAATAATATCCTTAAAAAAATAATAAAAAAGATGACCTTGCCCTACAACTGATGTTAGAAAAATAACCAAACCGTTATTGTGGTTTTCACCGTTGAAAGGGTTAAAAGGTGATTTCAGCCTTGTTCTCTTTTTTTAAAGAATTATTTAACTTTATTTATTTTTATTTGAATTTGACCAGAGAGTGACAGATCAAGAGAGAGAGGGAAAACAAGAAAGCAAGCCACCAGGTCCGGGACTCAAACCATGGTCAGCCATGTGGGAGCCCAGTGCCCTTAACCACCATGCCATCTGCCAGCCCCAGCCTTGTTCTTTATAGCTTTCTGTCTTATCTACTTTCATGTGTTTATATATAAAAATAGAACCACCTTGCTGAGCATGAATAGCCCAGGTGAAGAGTGCTGTGGGAAAAGAAAGCTGCCACGTTTTCTAGAGGACGGCAACTCCAATTTCTTACAACCTACAACACGTCCTCCATACGATGACTGCTGTTGCCATTCACAAAACCCACATTTTCTGGACACGACCTGGTCCTGTTGTTTCAGACTGTACTATATCATCTACTACCTCACTGAGCACATCTGCTGAAAACATCTTGCGATATTAATTTTGGGGATATAGTTCTAAGCGATGTATGCTTCAGAAGAACAAGCAAGTGGCATTAAATTAGGCTCCTTTGTAGCTTTTCAAAGACAGACTTTATTCCTTCCAACTAGCTTCTTATTCTAAAATTACTTACATTTATTTCCTGGAGTATTTAGAGCAGTAGTTCTCAAGAGGGTGGGGGAATGAGAAATGAGTGGGGTGTGGTTTGTTCTTCCCAGGGGGCATTTGGCACATTCGGAGACAAGATTGATGGGTACAACTTGGGGTACTACTGGCACCTGATGGGTGGAGGCTGGGGACACTGCCAAACTGTCTACAACACAGTCCCCCACGACAAAGAGTCATCCAGCCCAAAACATCAATTCAGCCAAGGTTGGGATACTCTGAACTGGATGATAATGTAGCAGAGAGATGAAAGGTTTGGTTAACAGAACAGCGACGATGCCCTTATCCCCTCCTTCATCCCAATCGTGCCGTAGTCCAACATGTGAAGTCAACGTTGTAGAAGAGCGTGCCTTTAAGACCTTTATAAGCAGCAGGCCATGTTCATGGACCCTAGTTTTTTTTGTTTTGAGAGATTTTTTGCTATAAGGTGCAAGTGTTCACCAGAGAGACAGAGATAGAGAGACAGAAAGGAGAAATGACCCCCCCAGGGGGATGGCCATACTATACTCTCCTCTCCTTTCTTCTCCTCTCATGATTTTGAGCACACACACAAACCTCCCGTGAGTTTCCAGCCTCCAGGTCTGGGACTCAAACTGCAGTCAGCCATGTGGGGGTCCAGCACCTTAGTCACTGTACCACCTGCCGGCCCCAATATCTTATTGTTTTGAATTGCTAAAGGACATGTGTGCTTACCAGAGAGACAGAAAGCCAAAGAGAAAGAAAGAGGAACAGTGGGAAAGCACCCAGCATGCTATAATGGGGCATGGCCACCTTCCAATCACTTCTCCATTTCTCCATCCTCTTGTGATTTGAGGCACGTGCATGTTTTTTAAGACATCTGGGCTGGGTTCAGACTGTGGTCAGCCACATGGGACTTGGCTCTCTTAACCATGAGGCTGTGGGGCTGGCGCATCATGGGCCCAATTTTTTTCTTTTTTAGGTTTTTGCAACAGAGCACGTGCGCTCTCTGGAGAGAGAGAGAGGGAAAGGGGAGAGATAAAGGGAGAAAGAGAGAAGCAAAGTGAGAAATTACTCCCTAGGGGGGACGGCCACGCTGCAATCCCCTCTCTGCCATTCTCCTCTAGGGATTTTGGGCATGCAGGCACACGAGTACCTGGCATGATTTTCAAGCTACCAGGTCTGGAGCTCAAACTGCAGTCAGCCATATGGGAGTCCAGTGCTCCAAGCACCATGCCACATGCTGGCCACGCCACCATGGGCCCTATTTTAAAGTATTAGTTCATCCAAGCTTTGTTGAAGATGTAGAGTTACCCTGCTACTTAGCAGTTTAAAGATCTTTTTCAAACGTGATACTCGGAAACACCCAAAATATGAAAGCTTTATATGCTTCCAGAGGCCTGGCGCAGAAGCACATAATTCAGAAACCAAAACGTGGCTCCACCTGTCTGACCTGGCCACAACTGCATTAGCAAGGCGGCTGCTAAGAAGTGTTCATAGGGTAACTTTAATGATATAATCTACCTATTGTGCAATTTCTTCTGTCTAAACCATCATGGGTATGGATTTAATTTTAGTGACAGCTGTAACACTGGGACCATGATACTGAAGCCTATGAATATTTTTCTATGGAAAATACAGTAAAGCCTCCCAAAAGAAGGGTCACCAACCTGAGAAAATTATTTCATTTATGGGGGCCCATACATGGCTATCGACATATAAATATTTATAAGTAATATTAGCAGAGGATCAAGTTTTTCAAGTAAAGAACCTTATTTCTAGGTTTGAACATGACACAGCCCTACCTTGGAAGATGTATCATATTACCTGTCATTCCTAAAAAAAAATAAAAACTTGAGACTTACATGCGTTCTATGGAGAGTGAGTAAAACTAAGTGAATTTTCAAATGTTAAACTTCACCAGTGTTTAGCATATTAGTTTTCCCTAGTTGAGGTAAAAGTTAAAAGCTTCTTTTAGGCAATAAAAGCTGCAGTTTTATCAGGCTGGTGCCACACAGAGGCTCCCTCACAGAGCGCAGGATAAATATGCACTTCTGTTTGCTCGGTCCACGCAGACCAAAAAGTAGATTTTTTCAAAGTCATCTATGAGAGATTTCTAACTTGTCATGAGAAATAAAGCTAGTTTTCTAATTGTTCCTCTCCCTCCCTAGTATGTCAAAAACACACTCTATAAAGATAGGCTGGCCAGACACATGGCATGGTGGTTAAGGCAACTTGATCCCACATGGCTGACTATTGGTTGGAGTCTCAGACCTGACAGCTTGAAAAACACAAGGGGGTCAGGTGTGTGTGTCTCAAAATCCCGAGAGGAGAATGGAGAAGGGATTGCAGCATGGTCACCCCCAAGGGGTACTTTCTTACTTCCTCTGTCTCTCTCCAGTAAGCACACATGCCTTATAGCAAAATTAAAATTAATAAATGAATATAAAGAGAAAAGGGAAATTTGCAGATCTAACCTGTCAGGGCAGGGGATCAGGGCATGAAGAGAGAGCTAGACAAAGCACGAGGCTGTACCGCACCTCAGAATGTGTTTGGATAATGCCAACACACGTAAAGCCCTACACCGCATATCCACCCTGCTCTGCAGCCAGAATGCACACCAGCTCAAACCCTCGAGGATAAGCTGAGATCACCACAAAAAGCATGTGGGAAGCTGGCCCTCCTGTTGACCAGGAAGGCTTAGAGTAGCCACAGAAAAGGATGTCAGCTTCCAAGGCATGTCTCATGCCAGTGCTTCTCGCGGATGCCCACGGGTCTAGCCTGATTCTAAGTTTGTACAACTGATCTTAGTTCCCAGCAACCTTGATAGCTTTGCCACTACAAGTTACAAGTGACTTAGAAGACAGGGAGTTTCTCCTGAGTTCTTTACTGGATGCGCAGCTAGAGGCTCTCCCAAGTCCAAGAGGGAAGGCAGAGGAGGGTTCTGGAGTCCAGTCCTGACCCAGCCAGTGACCCTCCACAGGCCTTCATCTTGAGAGACAGATAATAGCACTATTACCAGTTGCTTAGCAGCATGTTGGGAAGAAAATCTGGCACCAAAGCCATAAGGAGAGAGACCGTAGGTCAGTGCCAAGTCACGGCCCTGGTTGCAGGACTGGCCTTGCAGCCTCTGCTTGACTGTTACCCCCTGAGAGTCTGAGCAAAATACAAGGGAACTCAATGCCACATGGGCTCAGGCTCAAAGCCTTCCTTGGCAGGACTCACCTTCAGGATGGGCATTGCTGCTCGACAGCGGGCAGTCTTCAAGTTTTTGAGGAAGTGAGATTCGTCCTGAAAAGAAAGGTCCAATCTTGAGTGGACAGAGGTAGAGCCCACCTTAAGCTTGGCCCTGGCATGGCGTCTGCACTGGGATGTCTCCCTTAGCACTCTCTCAACCAGGAGGCAGAGCGGGGGGGCCAAGGTAAGGACCCAGCTTCTCCCCATTTGACAACCCACATCCCTCTGCAGGAAGGCTCCCACCTATAAAGTGAGGTCAGGGAATCTCCGCCGTCCCACTCAGGGGTTGCCAGAATGAACACACTCCTGAAAGGTGCTTTGCTGCTCTGTGAGAGGAACTGGTATCTGTGTGGTGCTACAACAGAATGTGCTGAAGACTCACCCTATATTCTGCACTAGAGTAAGTTCTGGGGGTCTAGCCCTGCACTCGTGGTGCAGAGCCTCTTGTAAGAAGAACAACATCAGGCTGGTTCTGTGGCCCGGTGGTTAAGGCAGCCAGATCCCACATGGCAGACCACATGGATCCAGTCTCAGACCTGGTGGCTTGAGAAACATGCTGGATGCAGGTGTGTGCATGCCCCGAATCCCAACAGGATAGAGAAATGGAGAAGACATTGCAGCATGACCATTCCCCATGGGGATGGAGTGCTTTCTCTTCTCCCTCTTGCTCTAGCAAGAATGTGCATCTGCTAACAAAAAGAAAAAAAGAAAATTCTTGTTTTTGCTTAATTCCCTGAATATGGAGTTTATTATGGTAAGTTTATTATAGTAAGCATATTCTGCACTGCACTACCTATTCCTGAATAAATGTCATTTAAAAAAAAAAAAAAGAAGTATGATATCTCAGAACCATCACTTAATTTTTCTTGGAAGTTGGAAAGGAATGAGCCATTAACTGAAGAATAAACCAACGCTGGTGGTAAACAGCTTGACAAAAATCTTATGGCGGGTTAAGTGTTAAGTCAGCAACAGAAAACATGACTTCTGAAGGCAGATGCAATGCGGCTTTGCTCAGTAACACTCCAACTTGCTGTCTTTGTGCCTACAGGCAAATTATGTGCCTGCTCTCATCGTCAGTTTCATCAGCTGTGAAATGGATAATGTACAAGGACGAAGAATAATACCTGCTCAGAGGCCATTGGGAAGATCTATAATTACGTATAAAATACCTAAAAGAAGGTAACACTCAAGAAATGAAGGCACTGGGAACCAGCAGTTAGCGTAATGGCTATGTAGCTGGACTCCCAAGTAGTTGACTGCGGTTCACGTCCTGGACCCGGTGGCTTAAACTCACACCAAGCACATGCGCGTGTGTGCCCAAGATCCCGAGAGGAGAATGGAGGAGGAGAAGGGATTGCGGCGTGGCCATCCCCCTTGGGGGGTGATTTCTCGCTTTCTATCTCTCTGTCTCTCTCTGTCTCACTGGTGAGTGCACACGCCTGCCCTATAGCAAAAACCTCTTCAAAAAAAAAAGAAAAAAGAAATGAAGGCATTACTCTTCTCACAGCTTTTAGATCCACTGCCACCACTCTGGGATTTTTTCCGTAAGGTTTTCATTTCCTGTGCATGCTGTCATTTTTCAAAGCCATATTTGTATCTACACCAGACCAGAAATGACTTCCTCATAGACTCATTACCTGAATGGCTTTGGGAAAAAAGGAAAAAATAAAAAAACAAAAAACAAAAAAACACTTAGGTTTGCTTATGCTAAGGACACAGTGTGGTTTTCATGTCAAAAACATGGTAACAGATGCCCTGAGGGCAGCAGCTTTATCTTCTGTCTCCCTTCTCTACACTCCTACAATATTTTTATTGTGAGCTACGGTCGACACGTTTAGTACTGAGAGAGCTGGGCTGGGTACCCAGCCTGTCTAGACTTTATGAAGTACGTGAGGAGTTAAAAGAAGGAAAGCCAATAATTGAAAAATGTGCTGTCAAATCTAGGAGCAGGACTCTAAGAAAGACTTCTTAAAAAAAAAAAAAAAAAACTAAAGCAAAAGGTGGTTTTTCGGGAGGGGAAGGTGTCTTCGTGTTGCCTGGAAGAAAGCGTGTTAACTATTGATGAGTTGCACATCTGTGCCAGGCTGCCAAGTTGGCAAGGTGCAGGCACATGCCCGTTCGCCCAGGCTGCAGGCCCCGGAGCCCCATGTGGTCTGAGCTCATCTACTGACCTCTGCCCATAACTCGTGCTGGGCTAGGAGCCCTGGCACAGACCTATTAAATCACATTTTCAAAGCTGCTGGGTCTGAGTCCAGCTGCTGGGTTTGAAAGTTAGCCATGTGGGATCTGGCTGTCTAAACTACCAGGTCATGGAAGTAGCACAAATATATTTTTCAAAAACTCCTTAGGTGATTCTTTTTTTTTTTTTTTTAATAGAGATTTCTGCTATAGGGTGCGTGCACTCCCCAAAGACACAGAGAGAGACAGAAAGACAGAAAGTGAGAAATCATCCCCTGGGGATATGGCCACATTGCAATCCCTTCTCATCCATTCGCTCCTCAGGATTTTGGGCATGCACACACATGTGCCTGGTGTGAGTTTTAAGATGCCTAGTCCAGGACTCAAATAATGGTCAACCATGTTGGTGTCCAGTGACGTAACCATCACATCATCTGCTGGTCCCACTCCTCAGGAGATTCTACTGTTCAGTCAAGGTTGAGAACCTTGTTTGAGAGGAATGAAATGCTAATGTCTCACAAAATAGACAGCGATCTCTGTTGTCCTAGAGGCTGAGCGATGGCTCAATGAGATTACATATGTGAAAACACTGAGAACTTTTAAGAAGAAAGCTTTCATAGTGATTAAGTCTTTTTTTAAAGAATTATTTTATTTAACTTACTGATTTATTTTAATTTGACCACAGAGGGACAGAGAGAGAAAGAGAGTGAGAAAGCAAGCTGCCAGCTCTGGGACTTGAACTGTGGTCAGCTATGTGGGAGTCAGCATCCTTAACCACCATGCCACCTGCCGGCACCATAGTGATTAAGTCTTTAAAGACTGCCAGGACCCAGTCCCTAGCATGCTTGACTATAGCACAGGAAGCCAGGTAGCTGACCACAAGTTTGACTCCTCTAGTTGACCCCAAAACACACTTGGTATTGGGATCAGCAGTTAGCATAATGGCTATATCGCTGGATTCCCACGTAGTCAACTGCGGTTTGAGTCCAGGACCCAGTGGCTTAAACTCACGCCGGGTGCGTATGTGTGAGTGCCCAAGATCCCAAGAGAATGGAGAAGGGAATGCGGCATGGCCATTCCCCCTGGGGGGGGGGGGGGTTTTCCCGGTTTCTGTTCT